GCCAGCCCAGCAAAAAGCCTTTATCTCCCCACCCTGCACTTCCCTGCCCCGGTGTGTCCTTTTTACACACTTTCCTCTGGCAAGCTCCATTTACAAACACTTACGTTGAACTCTGTATACAACTGTAAGTTGAACAAATCAATCTTCCTCTGTGATTCTGTTTGAGAAGAGCTTTTCTCCAGTGGTGTTGAAGAACTTTCTGTTTTCTCTGTCCTTTGTATTTTTCTGTCACTGCCCTTTCATGTCAGCTCCCATTGCATTTTTGATTCTCCACGCATATCTCCCTCCTCTGTTTCTCTTATCCTTGTTACTGACAGCCAGCTGCTTTCTCTGCCTGCGTGTGCATGCGTGCTGGCACTCTCTCTTTTTGTTGTTAGTATCCTGGAGATGTAAAGTTTCATATTACATACTCACCAAGAAGGGAAAAAGCACAACTGGAGTCTCACTATTGCCACAAGGTTCCCTGAATCAAGAGTTGTTGCAACTTTTCGTGTAACTCTTGACTGCATCTGAGAAATTTCTTCAGCTCTTTTCTTGCACTGTCTGGGCAACTCTTGAGTTCTTTTCCACACCACTAGAGACTGCTAATTTTGTAATTGGTGTTAGAAAAAGAATTACTTGCTCTTAGCAAAATCAACAGCATGGATAACCGAAAGGCTCTTCCTCCATGGATACATGAAGATCTTTGCGGGCTTTTTTTTTCCCCTGTGAAATACTCCATGAAAAAGAATCAAAAGACCCAATTTATGCAATGGCTGTGCCTCCCCCCCTTCCACAGGAGTGAGAAAATAATTCCATAGTTCACAAGAAGAGAGGTTTTGAGAAGAACTGTTAATACATGGAAAATACAAGTGGAAGCATGTGCACTTCCAAGGCAGTGGGCAAGGCAGGGTAGGGTAAGGAAGGGAGAGGGAAGGATGGATAGATATTCTGATTCTATGTTATTCCTTGCAAGGAAGAGAGTGGCTTCTCTGATTTTCATTTTTTTCCTCCCCCTCCTCCTCCCCTGCCTCAGTTGAACACTTTGCAGAGAGTTGGCTGCTCTAAGGTCATGAATAAAGTATTCCAAAGAAAGCTGCTCTGACTATTCTAAGAAAGACCATCAACCCTTCCAGCCAAGAAACCAACTGACAACTTGGCCAGTTCTTGTAACTCTGCCAGAGATTGACCTTTTGACTTGAACCTGTAACTCCATTGCCTCAACTACTAATTAAAAACATTGCCTGCATTTTTATTAACTGGTATCATTTTAAATATGAGTATATGGCTTTAGTTGTACATACTGAGTTCTGTTACCTTGGAAGCCCTGCGGGAGTGCTGATAATTAAAAAACAAAGTCTCCTTCCTGGCGTAACCAAATTATAGTTTGTTCTTTTCCTTTTCGGAAGAGAAAAAAAATGGGACTGCCAAAGACCCTTGGCATTTCCAGCTGGGTAATGCTAGCAATTGCTAGAAGGGCATGAAGAAAAAAATTCAACCAGATAATCTTTCATTGGTTGTGAAAAGAGGCTTTCTTTTAGCCCAAGAGCCCAGTGTGAGTCAGTGTCACTTTGCAGAACTGATAAGGGTAGCTTTGTAGCATTTTTTTTTCTCTTCCCCATCCTAACTTTTTGTATACTGGGATTTTAAGCCACCAGCTGAGTATCTGACAGATACAGCTTTCTCAACCGGATGGGTACTAAATCGTCCTGTGTTAGCACAAACAGGTGTTTGTTTATCTGTACATTTGCTGAAATAGTCCTTACTGTTGGAAAGTTTTACTCCTTCTTCCTTACAATTCAATAGGGAAATGCCTCAGAAGGCATTTTTTTAAATGCCACAAAAATACTCTACTACCATGGTTCATATCTTTCCAGCATAAGCCTGTTTTCAAATGGAAGATGTTTTGGTTTTCATATTATTTGGAATAAGGAAAAGTGCCAGTGCTTAAAATTATTGTAAATGAACTCCTGGGATATTGTACCTATCATAGGACATAAACTGAAGCCTACATTCTTTTGGTAATGCAGAATGAGACAAAATATATGATCAGTTTATATGCTTATAACTGCATTTGTGGCATGCTTGGAAATTAATATACTAGGGAAAAATGTTTTTGAAAGTCTCTCTTAAATAGTAATTTCCATCTGTGCTAAATGGCAAGGTTGGAAAAGAGAATGTTGGTTCATTGGCATTTGTTCTATTTTTTTAATGTTGTCTACAGAAATAGATTATCCTTCTCCCAAAGGTATCTTTTAGCTCAGTCAACAAGGACTCCTTTTTTATTGATCTTTTATGGTCTGTACAGACAGTTCCATTCATCCAGCCAGTTAGGTGGTTGCTCTAACAGGAACAGTATACAGCATATTTTTCCACTTGACATTCTGCCCAATAACATTCATAAAAACATGTATGAAGGGAAATGTTAATATGAACCAACCATAAAACAAGACCTCATTGTAATTTTAAATTCCTGTGGTTTTGATGTGTTATAACTGCCTTTATAACTTCTGGTTAGAGATTAGTAGGAGAGGTTGCCAACAGATAATTAAGGCTACCAAACTTTATACTCAAATTATCTCAAAATAGAAGGCTAGTATTTTTCAGTAGTCTAGAAAGCATGGTAAGCAAATAATGCTTTGTGTCACTATGTCCTTATCCTGTGAATATTTTTACTTTGTCCACCTTCAGAAAGTTTTGGTTTTGAAAGAGGTCAAGTGTCTACCAGGTGCTACTGCCAGCAGAGACAAGAAGCGTATTCTTAAGATAGTCAAGAATGCCAGCAAGGACTGTGATGTTGATGCTATTATACATCTTGGTACAAATGATCTGTCCCAGAAGGATGTACTTTCTGTTCAGAAAGACTTCCAGAGCTTGGACTTCCGGTTTGAAGGGCTTCGGTGACAGACAGAAATCCGCGATCGTGCGCGGTTTCTGTTCTGGGCTCGCCACTGGAGCACCCCGAGCCGGCTGGTTTCGGGGCTAAGCCACCCCGTAGAGGTGGTGAAGAGGGGGGAGACCGCCAGCAGGGTTGAGGAGAGCCGCATCTCTCCTCCTCAGCTGGCCATTACTCCCTTTCCTGAAGGCGGTTGCAGCGGTGGTCAGAAATGGCCACCACAAAGGAGAACTCGACCGGAAAAGAATGTGCAGGAGGAAGATAAGAAGTGAAAGTTTTGGCTGACCGGGTTAAATTGTAAAAGCAACACTTAAGGTACCCTGGAATTTAAACTTACAAAAAATAACATCGCACCCAAAGAAGAGTCGGAAGCAGCGAAGGAAAGTGAAAAGGGAAAGGTTTGGCTTTTTTTCCCCCTCTCTCCTTCCCTATACTGACAACTAAGAGACTTAAATAAGAAATCGGAAAAATCCGCTTTGACATCAATAGGCAATTAAGCTGAAAATAAAACAAAATGCCAAAGGGATAATAAAGATTTCTGGACATTAAAATTTTTCTTTTTCATAAGCAGGAAGGGAGAGAAAAAGAGTAAGGGCAGGATCTGGAAGAGGGAGGAGACTGCCTGGAATTAAAAAGAATCTACAGTAAAACTTCAACAAGACTTCTAAAAGATACATTTTAACTGAAACTTTGCAACTAAATAGTAACCCCAGGAAGAGAAAGTGAAAAAAAAGAGCAAAAAAGAAACAGCTTGCGTGTATTTGGATTATTTGGTGATCTTTGGATTTTTGGTTATTATATTTGAATGACTAAAATCAATCGGGTGGTTGTTTAAAAATTTATACAATGGCACCACTTCTGGATGAATTGAAAATGAAACTTAAAAAGTACAAAGAAGATGCACAAGAAGGGAAGGGTTCTTTTGGCTTCGTTTTTCAATTCTTAGAAATGGAGATTTGGAACTATGAGAAACAACAAGATACGACTGCAAAACAAGACTGGGACAAAGAAGAAGCCATCTTTAATGAACAAGCAATTCTATGTGGGGAAGAAAAAGGAAAGAGGGGAAAGAGAATGGAGAATTTAAGACTTAAAAAAACAACCAAAGAAAAGAAAAATAATTCAAAAAATAAGTATAATACTGGAAAGCAACAGAAAAGGGGAATACAGAAGAGAGAAATAGAGGTAGAGAGACAAGGGGGTAAAGGGAGAGAGAAGAAGAGAGGGAAGAAGGTAAGGAAAAGAAGTTACAAAGGACCGGAGCAAGATATAGAGAAACAGGACCTATTTAGAGATAATGGGTGAAAATCTAACTGAAAAAGGGATTCTGTAAAGGTACATAAGATTGTATTGTTATATTAGTAATAGAAATAACTTTAGAAAATTGGAAACAACGTATGATTAAAATGAGGGATAAAATAGTTCATGTAATTTAGTGAAACGTTTGTGAATAAAATAAGTGAAATAAAATAAATGAGAAAATTGAATTAGGAAGGAACGGGAACATTTTAAGTAGTTAATGTTTTATAAAATATAAGTGGGGGGGGGGAATTAACCATGGAAAGCTTATAATTGTTCCCATAGAAGTATGATATTTAATTGAAAAGTAATGTTAAAGATGTTAAGACTTTAATGAATATTAATATTAATGATAGAATTGAATTGGAATGGAATGTTGTTTTAATTATATACATTTATAATTTTTTCTTTTTTAAAGAATACAGTGTGTATTTTAAGAATGTACCAAGCAGAATCTGAATGGAAGTTATGTATTATATTGAATGTTACAACTTTAGGGAAAAGATATAAAGGCATCATACTCCAATCAGTAACTACAGGAGAAATTTTGTTTAATGAGAAATAGATAGATAATTGAAACAGGACAGACAAAAATATAAATACAATGATTTGAATTAAGATGAGATAATTAAAATAAAATTGAGAAAATTAAAAGAGGGGAGAAGCTATGCAGAAAATGTAAAATAGTAATAAGATATGGAATAGAATATAAAAATGAGCATGAACCTGAATTTGTGTCTGTACGAAGAAATGTAACCCGGGATTACGCTACTTTCAAAAAAGATGTTTTATTTGTATTCTTTTTAAAACTCAAGTAAAATTTACAAAAAAAAAGAAAAGAAAGAAAGAAAGGCTTCCAGAGCTTGGGGTATGAACTTAGCTGTAGGCTTATCTTTTCAGAGGTTCTACCAGTATACAAGGAACAAAAAGGGAAAGGGCAGCATGTAGCAGAGTTTAATGTGTGGCTAAAGGAGTGGTGTAAAAGGGAAGGCTTTGGTTTTATTAGTCATGATGTCGGCAGCTGGTCCAATGAAAAACTGTACAAAAGAGATGGTTTGCATCCATCAAAGAAAGGGACTGAGATACTTGGCATTAAATTCACAGATTTCCTGGATAAACATTTAAACTGAACAGCGGGGACAGAGAATTAATGGATCGAGAACATTTCTGTCCACAGCAACCTAAAACTAATAAGGATACCAGTGCATGCAAAATAGATGTTTGTGCAGATAAGATTATCAACCTTGATGCCAATCAAAACCAAGTATTTAATAGTGAGTGCCATACCAAGTGCATTAATCAAACAGGTGGCAAGAAAGTAGGGGCAGGCAGGCACAACACAGGTTACAGAGACAGTAAACACAGTGTCAGACATAAAGATCTCAAGTGCCTATATACAAATGCACAAAGTCTGGAGAACAAACAGGGTGAACTCGAACTAAGAATACATGAAGGTAAATATGATATAGTTGGAATAACAGAAACTTGGTGGGATGAAACCCATAACTGGAACATACTGGTAGAAGGATACAAACTATTAAAAAAAACAGACCCCATAAAAGAGGAGGTAGAGTTGCACTGTATGTAAAGGACCACTATATTGCTACAGAAATGCATGAAACCAAAGATGAAAACCTCCTAGAATGCATATGGGTCAATATAAAAGAAAAAAAGAATGACATGGCCATAGGTGTATATTATAGGCCACCCAATCAAGCAGAAAAAATAGATGTCCTTTTTGCCAGCCAACTCACAAACATATGCAGGAAACACACAACAATAGTAATGGGAGACTTCAATTATCCTGATATCAATTGGAAAACTAATTCTGCACCAAGTGAGAAATCAAATAAGTTCCTAACCAACCTAGCTGACAACTTTGTTGTCCAAAAGGTAGAGAGTGAAACTAGAGGTACAGCCATATTGGACTTAATTCTTACAAACAGAGAAGAAGTGATAGAGGGAGTTGAAACTGCAGGAACCTTGGGTAAGGGTGACCATGTCATACTAGAATTCAACATAACACAAACACAAGCAACAGAACATAATGAGACCAGAGTCTTGGATTTTAAAAGAGGTGAATTCAATAAACTCAGAGAGAACTTGGGAAAGATTCCATGGATGAAAATCCTAAAGGGGAAAACAACTCAAGAATCTTGGGAAACTCTAAAAAGTATGATCGTAGAAGCCCAGACCAGCACAATGCCACTGAGAAAGAAAAACAAGAAATCCAAGAAGAAACCAGCATGGCTGTACAAAGATCTCTCTGGCAAATTGAAAGAAAAAAAGAACAAGTACAAAGAATGGAAAGAAGGACATACAACTAAGGCAGAATATCAGCAGATAGCCAGAATCTGCAAAGACGAAGTCAGGATAGCAAAGGCTCAGAACGAACAAAGACTTGCAACTAAAGTCAAAGATAATAAAAAAAGTTTCTTCCATCCTATAAATAACAAGAAAAAAATCAAGGAAACAGTTGGTCCACTAAAGAGAGAAGACAGCAAGGAAGTAACAGGCAACAGAGAGAAAGCAGAACTGTTTAACTCATTCTTTGCATCTGTCTTCACGCAAAAAGAAACTATAGCTCAACCCACCAAAAACCTAACTGTAAAAGACAGACCAGAAATAAAAGTTAAAATAAGCAAAAAAATAGTAAGCGAACACCTGTCTGATCTTGATGAAAACAAATCATCGGGGCCTGATGGATTACATCCCAGAGTTTTAAAGGAGCTGGCAGAGGTCATCTCAGAACCACTGCACCATATCTTTCAAAAATCCTGGAGCACCGGGGAACTACCAGAGGACTGGAAAAGAGCTGATGTGGTTCCCATCTTCAAAAAAGGAAAAAAAACAGACCCAGGAAACTATAGACCAATCAGCCTAACATCAATACCCGGGAAGATACTGGAAAAGATAATAAAAAAACAGATCTGCCAACATCTAGAAACAAGTAAAGTAATAACTAGCAGTCAGCATGGGTTTGTTAAAAACAGATCATGCCAAACCAATCTTATTTCATTCTTCAACATAGTGACTAAATTAGTAGACCAGAAAAATACTGTGGACATAATAGATTTCAGCAAAGCATTCAACAAAGTAGACCACAACCTACGTCTTAGTAAGCTAGAAAAAAGTGGAATAGATAGCACCACTGCTAGATGGACTCGCAACTGGCTGACAAACCGTACTCAATGAGTAGTCCTTAATGGGTCTAAGTCTACATGGAGGGAAGTAAACAGTGGGGTGCCACAAGGTTCAGTCTTAGGCCCAGTACTCTTCAATATCTTCATTAACGACAGATGAGATAATAGAAGGGGAACTTAGCAAATTTGCAGATGATACTAAGCTGGCAGCTAGCTAACACCCAAGAAGATAGGCTCAAGATCCAGATGGATCTTGACAGACTAGAACACTGGGCCGTGTCTAACAAAATGAAATTCAATGTAGAGAAAAGTAAAGTCCTACACTTAGGCAAGAAAAACCAAAAGTACACATATAGACTGGGTGAAACCAGGCTCAATAGCAGTAACTGTGAAAGGGATCTTGGAGTCTTAGTGGACAACCAGCTAAATATGAGCCAGCAGTGTGCAGCAGCAGCCAAAAAAACTAATGCAAAAAAACTAATAAAGTTGTATTAACAGAGGGATACAATCAAGATCAAGGGAAGTACTAATACCACTCTATAAAGCCTTAGTAAGACCACACCTAGAGTACTGCATCCAGTTTTGCTCACCACATTATAAAAAAGATGTTGAGACTCTAGAAAAAGTACAGAGAAGAGCAACCAGGATGATTAGGGGACTGGAGACTAAAACATATGAACTGGGCATGGCTAGTCTAGTGAAGAGAAGGATCATGATAGCCGTCTTCCAATATTTGAGGGGCTGCCACAGGGAGGAAGGGGTCAAGCTATTTTCTAAAGCTTCTGTAGGCCAGACAAGGAATAATGGATAGAAACTGAACAAGGAGAGATTTAACCTGGAAACAAGGAGAAACTTTCTGACAGTGAGCACAATCAACCAATGGAACAGCTTGCCCTCGGAAGTTGTGGGAGCACCATCACTTGAGACTTTCAAGAAGACATTGGACTGCCATTTGTCTGAAATAGTGTAGGGTCTCCCGCTTGGGCAGGGGGTTGGACTAGATGACCTACAAGGTCCCTTCCAACTCTGATTATCTGTTATCTGTTAAGTCTCTGAACCTTCCAAACCACTGTAAAAAAAGCATTTTCTCTGTTTCCTTTCCTTTTCCTCAATCTAACATTGCTTCTTGTTTGCCTGTTAGTTGTCGCCATGCTGCCATAGCCAATTACTTTGGAGATGATGTCCCCCAATGTAACAGAAGCTGTGATTACTGTAAGAATCCAGTAGCAGTGAAGAAGCAAGTAGAAGCATTACAGCATAGCACCAAAAGTTGGAGCAGAACCTATATTGGACCTTCTGCTTCCTCTTGGAATGCCTGTGATCCTGAGCTATATGGAGGAGGAAAGCGAGGTTGGGGTGGCTTTGAAAGGTAGGTCTGCATTAACTAACTGGGAAGATGCATTGGGGGGGGGGGCAATGTCGTTAGTGACAAATAAGAACTGCTCTTCTCTTTTTTCCCTTTTGGTAACTTTAATGATTCTCCTGACTAAGGAGGATAAAAGTTGAGAATTTTTTCTGCGTAAGTGGGCTAAAGTAATGATCTCAAAAACGACAGCTTCTTCATGAATCTCACTTCAGTAGATTACACAATTACTCTTTGTAGCTCAGTTTTAAAGTCAAAAGGATCAAGAACAAGGAGGATAAGAAATATATATTGTTTTAAATTGTTATAGAAATGCTTTTTACATGTTTAAATGTAATTATGCAATTCTCTTAATACAAATGTAAAACTGGATCTCAGAATGTGTTGAGTTGAGTAAACCTGTTGCAAGTAAAAGTTGCTGTTCTCCCTTGTGGGGCTGCACAGTGATTCTGCCTTATTTCTATTTCCTTGCTTAAGGGAAGGCTGCAGGCCTTAAAAACAAAGTAGGGAGATGGAAACATGTCCATGTCCATCTGGTAAGATAATCATGCACATGCTTCCCAAATTGACTTTAAGTTAGGGCTAGGGTTGACCTTCAAAACTGTTCAGAAAAAAACTACAGTTTTTTAAAATAACAATCTGCCAACTGTTGTTGGTAAAAAGATGATTTCATAATTTCTGTTGGAAAATTAAGCATACATTCTGCATCACTTTCTTCCTGCGAGTGAGAGTAAGATCCAAGTGTTTAGCTTAACAGCTTACTCTAATATTTGTTTTAAATCTTTGCAGCACACCAGATGGAAGTTAACAGCATTTTCTTACATTACATAGTTATACAAAATTGTTTCCATTGTGTTTGTGCTGGGACAGGCAGTATGTGACCTAGATGTTATTTTAATAGAGACCCCATCAACCTTCATCAGCTGTCATGCTGGCTAAGTTAGTGAACCTCTGAGTAGGCTTGAAATTTGAATTTCAGTTTGAATTTGAAACACATTGTCCATCATGGTTCCATAGTTCATTCAATCTTGTTTTATACAAGGATCCACGATCCTGATGCTCAATCCTAATGCCTAGAATATTGGGCTTTAATCCTAATTTAAGATTTGATATAATTTTACATGACTCTCCTGTTCAACTTCCATCTCTTTCTGAGTTACTATTCAGCTATGATGAAGATACCAGGAGTGTGGGTGCAGTTAATGAGGACAGCCAGAAAAAGGAATGGAACATTTTCTATAACAAACAGATGAAGTTGCGCAGGGTAAGTGGAAGGGCTTTCTATAGAAGATAGAGCCTCACCTACATAGCCTGCCAATTACATTCGTAACCTGAGGATTCGTAGGAGTGAATTATGTAACTTGAATGTGACCACTTGCTGCTTTTTCCCACACATTAGTTAATTGAACGTGTGAGTCGCTAAGTGTATGAGATATTTCAGGAAGAAGAAGGCCACGAGAGGCCTAGTGCTTTCCTCAACCCACTGAGATATCTCATGCTTCCCACCCCTACCATCCTGCCCAACTGGGTCACTCACCTGACGTAGATCTCGATGATCAATGGAGCTATCTGCTCTCCAGCTTCTCTGCTGCGATTTCATCTTGAGCAATGGCTTTCCAAGGCCTACAGGGACGAGAGATTGCGTTCCTATCGGCTCCAGTCATTTTTGCAGAAAGCCTTTGCCAATGACAAGAGAGCCTGGGAGGAGTTCGCGTCCCTCCAGGCCTCCATTCTTGTTGGCAAAGGACTTGAGGAAAGGCTTTTGCCAACAAGGCCATGAGGGGTGTGCGCATCCTTCTGGCCTCTGTTCTCGTCAGCAAAAGCCTTTCTTCAAGTCCTTTGCCAACAAGAATGGAGGCCTGGAGGGACGCGAACCCCTCCCAGGCTCTCTTCTCATCGGCAAAGACAGCAAAAGGCTTTGCAAATGGAGGGAAGGCTTTGATGCTACAGGCCTTGCCTCCATCTGCAAAGCCTGTTATTGCAGATCTCATTTAGGCCTCCATTTGCAGAGAACAGAAGGCTAAAGTAAAGGGAGATCATGCGAGATCAGTAGCGTGAGAGCTTGCGTTATTGATATCACATGATCTTGTGGTACTTTAGGCCACCATTCTCTGCAAACCGAAGGCCTGAAGCACCGAAGCAGGCCAAGAAACCGAAGGCTCGCTAATTCTTTGCAAGGTGAGTATCCACAGGCCTAGTGCCTATGGAGACCCAGCTTGGGAGATGGAGGGGTGATGAATAGGCAGGACAAATTTTCTAGAGGCTCTGTAGTCATTTATGTGAACTACTGCTGTGGTGATGCAATATTCGTAATTTCGCGACTGTTGTAAATACTTGGGGGGCTGTGTTGTAACTTTGAACGGTCGCTAAGTGAATTGTCATAACTCAAGGGTTACCTAAACATCAAAAGCATGTTTGGATTGAATATATTTGAATCCAGGTGTGCTTCCTAAGAAGTAAGTCACATTGAGTTCAACTGAACTTACTCCCAAGAAAATACAGGTAGTCCTGGATTTACGGCCACAGTGGAACCCAAAATTTATATTAAGTGAGAATTTGTTAAGTGAGTTTTGCCCCATTTCATGACCTTTCTTGCCACAGTTGTGTCGTGAATCACTGCAGTTGATAAGTTAGTAACCTGGTGGTTATGTGAATCTGGCTTTCCCATCGATTTTGTCAGAAGGTTGCAAAAAGTGATCACAAGACCCTGGGATGCTGCAATGGTCATAGCCAGTTGCCAAGCATCTGAATGTTGATCACATGATCATGGGGATGCTGCAAAGGTTGGAACTGAAAAATAGCCATAAGTCACTTTTTTCAGTACCATTGTAACTTCAAACTGTCACTAATTGAACCGTTGTAAATCGAGGACTATCTGTAAGACTTCAGAATTGATCTAAAATATTAAGACGAAACCTTGTATAAATACTAATTAGAAAGAAAGCCATTCAGTTCCTTTAAAAACTGGATATCATTCTGGCTTTTCTCTGTTGCTAAGAGAATCATATTGTGGGGGCACCTATTGTGCTTCATCACAGATATATGTGTCTTTTGGTAGAACCATATAGTGCAGGGGTCTCCAACCACCGGTCCGCGGACCGGTCCCGGTCCGCGGAACAAGTCCTACCGGGCCGCTGGCTTGCTGGGCGCCGCCATCTTTTTTTGATGAAAAAGTGCTTCCGGTGAGCTTTTCTGGGTAGAAAGCTCACCGGAAGCACGTTTTCATCAAAAAAAGATGGCAGCGCCCAGCTGATGCCGGTACCGGGCCGCGGCGTAAAAAAGGTTGGGGATCACTGATATAGTGTACTTGAGCAAGAGTGGGATTTTGCCTTTATTTTGTTTTGTTTTTAAATTGAGATTGTTGAGAATTGTTTCTGGGCTTAGAGTACAAACAGCAGGCATCAAAGAGAGTAGTTTGTATTTAAAAATCAGACATTAAAGTGGGCAAGATGACATAAAACCACAGAGATTTTGTGACTAATGGCCATTTCACAAGAATTTGCCCACTTTGAAAATGTTTCATTTATTGTTATTTATTGTTATTTACTTTTTTTCTAATGTACTGTCTCTATAGATCAGTTAAATTAATTAAATTTTAATGTACTTTTTGTAAATATTGTTGTAAATATATAATTAAGAGCCTATTAGAGGAGCCACCATTCTTGAATTGCTAGCTCATTTCCTATTTTAAAATAATGGGAAATCTTGCCACTGAATTTGGACAGCGTAGTGAGAATTGTTTAATTTTATTTATTCATTTATACCTGTGTTTCTTATTTTTATAAATAACTCGAGGCAGTAAACATACATAATACTCCTTCCTCCTCCTATTTTTCCCACAGCAACAAACCTGTGAGGTGGGTTGAGCTGAGAAAGTAACTGGCCCAAAGCCATTCTGCTGGCTTTCGTGCCTAATGGGGGACTAGAACTTACAGTCTTCTGATTTCTAGCCTGGTACCTTAACCCATAGGCCAAACACAGATCTCAACTCAAGGATAAGAAGAATAGGGTTTCTTCACATGTGAGACAATTTTAAATTATTTCTGCTTCTAAGCACTTTCTTGAGTGGTTTCTATATGACTAGAATATTATCTAGTAATATTCATCCAAAATTTATTTATAGAAGTCAGAAAATGTAGATGAAGATACTGTATATGATAAGTTTAACAGTAATTCTACTTTAAGCAGCGAAAGATAAAATACCGTAATTGCCACATAAATTGGGGGCACTATTGTTATTAACCTGAATCCTGTTAATTAGCCTAAGTAACCAAATTTGGTTTAAAATGTTTTTTTAAATATTTTAATGCATTGATTTTTTGAGTTCAAATTTCAGATTCTTAGTTAAGTTTTAGCATGCAACATTTTTTTAAAACATTTCATATGGTCATTTGAAATTTGTTGTTTCTGTTTAACTTTAATTTCCATCTTTTTATATCTTTAGGGCAGAGAATCTGAAAATGATAACTTTGTTCTTCCGGGTAAATATTATTTCACATATCAGTTTTGGATAAAGTTTGCATGGGTGTTTTTGAGGAATTGACAGTAATTATAGCCTGTATAATAGTTTAGCCTGTAAGATAAAGGGATTCATTCACAGCAGCAATGGGTGCTATATTGGAAGATTGAAGGACCAGGTGGGGAATAGTGTGTCCAGAAGATCTGTCTATGAGGATGCATAATCAGTCAAGGCTTTAATCTTCATGAACTCTAATATGAGGGCTAGTTTGATAGAATTAGAAACAAATAACCTGAAATTAATGATAGTTTACAGTAATGAAGAACAGGTGGAAACTGTTCATCCTGCTCAAAAAGGAGATCCTTCTAGCCTCTTTAGCACACAGGTAGAAGAAAAAGGTGCAAAAATTTGAACTTTGATTTAATTATAAATGGAGCTTTCATTTTATACATAGTAGTTGCTGGAATTCTTAGTTTTTCTGTTTACTGTAGGCCTGCAACATTTATAAATTTAATATCTACCACCAGAAAATTGTTTAATGGATATTAGAATGCTATTTGCTCTTTGTATATGACATTACTGACCCCAGGATTCCATGTTGGACTGAACTACAGATAGTATTATTGCCTATGAAGAGCTCCTTGCTAAAGCATTTGGATTTAAGCCCAACACTGGCATAAATAGCTAAATCATATTTTCATTAGCACTTTGCTTTGCTCAGTGCCAAATACCATTCTGGAAATCTGTGATAAATACAGATGTTTGATTAATAATGGCGCTTGGACATCATGTAAATGTGTTTTAGAGCTATCTCATTATGAGTAAGATGAAGTACAAGATAACGTAATTGGTTCCGTAACTTAGGTGGCATTTAAAGATATGGAGAGGAAAAAAAACCCTGCCATTCCTTTAATTGGCCTCAGAATGGCTTTTATGCTATTGAAAATTTCAGAGATAATCAAAAACATATGAGCAAAATAATGCATAATAAATAGTGGGTAAATGTCAGTAAAATGATACACTTTCATTATGATCTATCCCAAAGATAATATAACTGGCAGATTTCCAGATAGCCAATAAGATGTATCCTCATCACATACGCCAACCAACAGGATGTACAGTTATTCTTCCCATTTGTGAAAAGTTTGACAACATATTAGAATTTATTAACTTAACTTGTGTATTTGCTCCTTTTGGTAGATAGCGATTGTCCCTTGAAGGATGCAGCCAGTAGGAAAATTGCTAGAATTACAGTAAAGGTAAGTGGAATTTTTTTCAAGACAGGTTATTTTAATACAATCTACTTATTATTTGTTGTCAACTGCTTAAGTTCTGATATTCAAATAGAAGAGTAAGTGAAGAAAAATATAGCACAGATATGTTTCCTAGATAAAGTTAGGATCAACCAAAATCTAGGTGAGAGACCTCTTCAGTGCAACTCTGTCTCTTTACAGTACTTTGTGAGTAGTGTACAAATGTCAGCATATTGCACCCAACAATCTGGACCCCATTTTACCACCCTCAGAAGAATAGAAAGCTGAGTCAACTGCTGGCAGTGGGCAGAGTCAGCCTGCAGTACTATTCTATCCGCTGCGCCACCAGATGCTCTTATACATGGAATTTTAAAAGCAAGAGAGAGATGTTTTAATATCAGATGTGCTTAATAATGTAGAAAGATTTCTAAAAGTTCTTTCTGATTACTTGGTTTTATACTAGTGGAGCAAATCCTTACTAGTAAAAGAAAATCTATGTGCTGTTCACCTGAATTTTTATGATGTGATGAGGATTCAGATACCCTTCTTTCACTGCTTCTTCCACATCCAGACCTAAAGAACCATAGTAAGTCTTAGCCTCAGCTTTCACGTAATACAGTTTAGTTCATTCTGAACTACTTGTCTCCAATATGATATAACATTCACACACAGGTATTGATTTATAGCTTTAAAATGTCTTCATGGTTATTTTTTTTATTAATACCTGTGCATTATTTGAACTTTATGAGTGGTCTAGAAACCATTCTGTAATCCCCACCAAAAGAAATGTTCAGGGAGTGCTTTAAATGTATTTTCAGAGTTCCATAAATAAATTTGTATTTCTTTTTCTGATTTTTTTAAACTTGTCTTAGCTGTTCAGACCATGGTATTGACTTCTCCAGTCCTTATCATCCCAACTCTGTGAAACCTTTTTATTTATACCCTGAAACATGTTTTTTAAAAATCAGTTAATGATATTGTAATCTGTCATACATATCCTGATTTTGATGAATACACCAAACAATTATTGCATTGGGTTCTTTCTTACTTCATTTTAGGCCTGGGTTAATCTTTTTAAAGAAAAAGCTTAATAAGCAAAACATAGACCTTGACTGTAATACTGTAACCCCAACTCCTGGAACAATTATTAGGATAGCAGGACGGATATGATCCTGGAAATTATCCTGCTGCACGTACATTGTTTCACTTTTGGCAAGGAACACACTTCCATATGTCCTCTTTTTATTTTAGGCTCGAGAACACTGCCTTAGGATGCTGGAAGAAGCATTGATCACCAACCAGCAAGCAACACCAGTTACAGATAGGTAGATCTAATCCAATTTGGTGGAAGAGTCCCAGAGCTCCCTTTGGATCCTTTTTCTCCCTGCCCTCAGACAAGTTAAGGGCACAGATGCAGACCAAATATAAGAGCTCTATACTACACAGAAGGACTACCGTGTATAAGAGCTTCGGCTGTTCCCTGTAGTTTCATCCAGCCTTTCCTTCATGGCCCTTGCAAGGGACACATGCAGGTGAAATTTTTGGATAGGGAAGGAATATACACACACATACTTGTTTCAGTTTCAAATTCCAATATGTTGATTTGCCAGATTTTCTATTAGTCTTAAAAGAGCTAAGGAAACAAATCACTTCTGTGGGGAATTTTTTTGTGCTATTTCTATTGCTATTTTTGTTCTCAAGTTGCCCTGGGATTTGTTTTTCTTCTTGAAAGACAGTCTATAAATGAGTAAACTTGCATATCGCTGCCATATTTTGAACCATGGAAAAATTTAAGAGTATTTGCACAAGTCACACAAAGTGTCATCATGCTTCAGTTTAAAGCTCTAAATATGCATATTTTTAGGGATGACTATGTTGGTTCTCCAGCAAATGCCATTGTTGGAATCCAAGTATGTAGTTATGTGGTCATTTTTGTATTACTGGGTAAACCTTTTTCTTATCCGAATGTGATTATCTGAATGACCCAAGTATATTTGCATCTTTTCTTCTGTGATCTAAATACTGCAATTCCTTTTGTTTCCACCAGAGGATAGCAATGTACTATAAAAATACACCATACTGCAAAAAATAAAAATAAAAAAATAGGCAGGTTAGAAGTACTTGTGCAATAAACTAGAAATATTGAAATGAAAAATATAACTTTGGGTTACTGTTTTTTGTCTCCTTCTTTGGGGAAGAATAGCCAATTGCCACTAGTATTTTTGCATTCAGGCAATAATTTGGAACTGCCAACTGTCGCAATATGGATTCTACAATGACACCTCTTATAAGAAAGTATGGAACATTTCCTTTGTATTGGGAGAAACGCCTTTGGCCACTGATTCTCAAACTATGGGTCTGTTTTAGTTCAGGTTTTCTAGCGTGTGCTGTAGAGATGGAATATGAAGCTTTCCGGACCAATAAAATGGCAAACCTCTACAAGGCATCAGTTCTAAAGAAGGTAATAAACAGTTGTGGAGATTGACATTGTGGGCCAGAGTTCTCTGATAGCTGGATTTCTTGAAACATATGGTCATAAAGAAAAAAGGTGGTGTGTTTGCTGTTGTCATGTAGATCTTCAACAGAATGCAGATTCAGTAATAATCAGATTTGTAGCAGTTTTTAAATCAAGCATTGAATATCTTCTCAAGAATGTATGCTTTGAAATTGTATCTGTGTCAGCAGTACAGCTGTCCCTCATTCATTTCTGAACAGCCCTTCTTTAAGACTATAGTGGTTGCAGCAACAGAATAAAATTTCACAAAGGATTAAAGGGGGGGGGGAACCTACTTCTTCTATAAATGTTGGCAGAGCCTTCTAGTCAAATGAAAGTAGACAAGTGGCTTGGGATATCTAGAAAAATTCATCGCTTCAGCAGCTGAAGGCGTTGCTCTCTTTTGCATGCTTTGGAAGCCATTCTCTAACACTGAGAATGGAGACTTGCACGACTCTCCTTGTGGGTAGCTCTATAACAGGAGTGTCAAACTGGCAGCCCACAGGCTGGATGTGTCATGCACAGGCCTCACCCACCCCAGCTCCGCAAACGGGAAATTTTTTTGCGAAATGTCATGTGACAGCAATGTGACACAGCAAGTTTGACACCTGTGCTCTTTAAGGATCTGATGTGTACATAAGTGTCAATTTCAGTGGCAAAATCTTCCTCTCAGAGGTAGAGAAGAAGCACCACTGACCAAAAATTAGTAACAATTCTGCACTCAACTTCTAGTGCTCCTCTGTAATTTCTAGGATCTTGCTTCATTTTGGATAGGTACAGTATAAATAAGCGGCTTGAAAGACAGGCACCTAAAGGTTTGCTGCCTTCCCCTTGAAATTGCCCCACTCTCAGAGGTTGATGCTGCAGACCGTGTCCCAATTATGGATTGCCCTTTCTTGCATTGATTGTTTGGCACTACAGTGGAATCTTAAGTACAACTTGAACTTAAATTTGTCCCATAATTCACTGATCATTATTGTTCTAAAGATTTTGTTGTTTTCTTTGTTAATTTCTCACATTCCTATATTTAAGCTTAGGATAGGATATGCATTTTAAAAAGGGGGGAGTGCATCTATTTTGAATGATTCATTGTAAAGCCAGAACTTTGTTTTGGACAAAATAAGGGGAGAAAAGTCCATGCTATCTGTGCTCAAGACATTTGAATGAGAGTTCAGACAAGGGAGGAATAGTTGAAAGTTAATCCAGGTGAGATTGTTAGAACCTGATTGGGAATGATGGTAATGCTACATTAATTGGTTTGCATAAGGAAAGCCTAATTCCTCAACATTTCCTTATATGGATTTCCTGCTTGTTGCAACTACGGATAATCCTTGCTTAACAGCCACTCATTCAGCAACCGTTTGAATTTATGACAGTGCTGATCAAGTAATAGTTATGACTGATGCTTGTACTCAGGTCAGCCGCAGTATCCCACAATAACAGGTTCACCATGTGCAACCTTCTTTCCTGGCTTCCTACAAGCAGAGTCAATAGGGGAAGTCAGTAGGAGGTCACAGGAAGTGACCACGTAAAGTCCTTGCTTAACACCCATTTGCTTAATAATGGCAACCAGAAGTGCCAGATGTTCTGTCACAAAGCGGTGAAGTGACTTGACATTGTGCTTTATGAGTGTGTCAGTTAGCAGTAGAAATTCCAATGTTGGTGACTATGTAGACTAAATGAGGACTAGTATATTGAAACAAACACAGTAAAGTATGGGAGACAGAATCCTCTGGATAGCCCTCTTTACTCTGTCCCTTTTTTCAATAAAGGTCACAGAAATTAACAAAGCTTCCAAAAATGGGGAGTTGTACGTTCTCCCGGACTTGGGAATCAGTGACTATCCCAAGATGAAAGGTGAACCAACTACTACACATGATGACGTCTTCTGTCAAGCATCCAAAGTGAATACTGTAAGTGCTATGAACCTTTTGTTTATAATTCATTATTGGGTAGGTGATTTTTGCAACAGATTTTGTTTGATGCATAATTACCTTGAGTTTTCAGAAGTCCCTTTGTTATACTTGCCATATAGCCCCAAAGGTGTTTTTTCAAAAGGGGCAACTGGACTTTCTGGTTTTTCTTTGAAGACATTTCACTTCTCATCCAAGAAGCTTCTTCAGCTCTCTTGAAGCTTCTTGGACGAAAAGCAAAACATCTTCAAAGAAAAACAAGAACTCCAGTTGCCTCTTGAAAAAGCACCTTTGGGACAACCATGATCTGGATGAATCTCCATAGACATTTGCCATATAGGAAAAATACCTATCCATGTACTACTACAATTCTCTTTCTTATAACCTTGAACTGGCCAAAATGGTACACCATAGGGCAAAACTTTTTGGAATAAGGTTAGTGGCTAACTTTTAGAATGCATCCAAAATCTGGGATCCATGATTCCCATAGAATGGAAATTTGGCAAATTTTATACAACATTTTATGACATAAAAATTAACGCCAAACAGTGTATGACGTAATACAAAATGTCATAAAACATTTCCTGGGCTTCCTGTTGGTCTGCGCTCTACACTTCAACATGGGCTATTTTCAAGGCAGGTACATGTCTCTGAATGCATCCCAATTTTTCCAGTGAAGGCAGTACATTAGTTCTCTCGTTGAAGGCATTGAGAAATCTAATGAGGAAATAACTCTGCAAGGATGGCCCAAAGGCATCACATGTTGTCTAGTATATTACTATTACATTCTCCTGTTTGTTTGTGTGTAACTTTAACTGGCCAAAATTGTGCATCATATGGAACAGTTTTTGAACCAAAGTACTCCAAATAGGATAACTTACAGAATGCATCCAAAATCCAAAACCCATAATTCCCCTGAAATTGAAATTTGGCAAGTTTTCTAAAACATTTTATGACTTAATACAAAATAAAAAAACCTTTCCCTGTGGCCCTGATATTTGACTGGGCTATACAATTCAACATGGGCTATTTTCAAGACAGATTCATCTCTGAATATTTCCCTGAATTTTTAAAAAATGTTTCCTGTGAAGGCAGGAAAGAAGCTCTGCATGCATTAGAAATAAAAAAAAAAGAAGCTCTGCATGCATTAGAAATAAAAAAAAAAAAAGATCGTAAATGATTGTGCTTTTGATTTCAAATTTTCTTAGGCAAGTTTAAATGATTTAGAAATCTAACTACTTTTCATCTCTTTCCCCAAGTTCAAACCCAAGAGAATGGGGATTGGATTTCGAAGGATGTCTGGCATGTTCCAGTCTGCTTCAGAGGTTCTATCTGCTAAGGAAGGAGATGACATTAATGTTATAAAAGAGGAAATTGGCTCAAACTGGAAGGAGGACAGTAGCTGTGGTCCCAAGCCTTTGGATATGGATGACATTCTTGATAAGGAGGAAGCAACCAACAAAATATGCAAAAACGGTGGTGAATCCCCTAAAAAGAAAGGACAGCATGACACTGCTGAGGCTGTCACCGCCTTAGCAATTAGTCCTGAAAAGAGAAAACCTACTAAGAAGCAGTTGCTGTTGGCAGAAGCCGCTAGGAAAGAATCTCAGAACATCTCCAAATTCTTCTCCATCCCCAAAGCAGGATGTCAAGTCAAGGCTTCAGAAAATGATTTGGCAGAAGAGAACATCAACTGTCTCAATGAACTGCCTCAGTTTCCCTCCCGAAGAGCATGTGAAGTGAAAGCTGAACCTCCAGAAACTGCCACTGTCTTTAAAGAAGAACTATCGAGTTCATCCCCCGCAAAAGAGCAGGAATCCAAGAATATAGAAAATATGCCTTTGAGCGGTCAAAGATTAGGGAGAGAGTACTCATACTCGGGATCAAGTTTTGAAAAGCTAAAGTGAGATATGGTTTTCTTTGCCTCTCAGTTATTACCTTTTTTGAAGTTGGGATAGACAGTGGGCAGTTGAATAGAAGCAATGATTCAACTATAGTTTCTCCCGTCAAATTTGAGATTGTTGTAATCACACTGGAGAAGCAATTGAATTTAAGCATGTTGCTCATCCTGAGAGTTGACACAGGTTGTACGAGTACAACTGAAGGTGAAAAAGCTAAACCTTATCTATATTTGGATTGAAATTGAGCAGAAGGATAGCTCAGTATGTAGATATCGGAGATCTAAGTGTAGGCTAATTTCAGGCACTTCTTCCTCTGTCCCCATAAAGATGTAACATTATTCTTACAAGATGTATCTGTTATACTTTTTTTTTTTCTTGAAGGGCTGAATTTTTGGTTGAAGAAGATACAACCAATGATTGTGAATATCTTAATGGAAAAAGACCAGGATCAGCTGAAGTGAGTTATATTTTATTAAAATTGCCTGTCTCTCTATCCATCCATATATACACACAAAGGGAGGGAGGGGGAGAGAGAGAGGGAGAGAAAGGGAGGGAGGGAGATAAAGAGGCATATAGAGGGATGGGCCCGAGATTTGATAACAGGAATATAGGAGTGAATAGGAAGTAGCAAGTGAGATGATTTCTGTTTGCCTGAACTAATTTCAAATGACATTTGCAGTGAGGCCAACTAAGATTCAGGTGGCAATTTAATAAATTGATAAATACATGATGCTTCATCCAAGAGAAGTCAGTTTCTTCTTTATAGAATTTGTCTCTAGTGCTAACCACCAAATGACAGTGACATTAAGGCTGTCTGACTTAATTAATGTAATTAATTGGTCATGCATCTGAAGTACATGACTGTGAGTGGGGAAAGAGAAGAGTATATAATATATACGTATACAGAAAATAAAACACACAGCAGACAGAAAAATAATAAAAACACAATAATATTAGCACAAACAGGATTTTGTGTGGGTTACTTCTAGAATTTAATGCTAACACTATATTGGTTTCATTGCATTGCATTTTAGTGATGCACAAATCAGTATTAATATCATATTTGGGAACTGGCCTTCTTTTGGTTTATTTTTGACTGTTCCTATTTTTAATGAGTAAATAGTATTCATTTATTTTTCTCAAACAAAGATTGTCCTCTTTTGATCATGTAATAGCAGAATGTGGGCAATGACTAATATGACATCTTGCCTTAGAAGATATGTAGACAAAAAAGTCTTTGTTAGTCTTGTTGCTTTTGTCTGGTCCAAATTAAAGCAAAGGGTCAAACAGAGTAGAGGAAGAGATGTGATTAGCACTGAAGATTTTGTGCTTGTTAATTTGTGTTTTTGGATATCTGTTTGATCCTTTGCTTCAGACTATTAATGAGGATAGAACCAGGCTTCAGAAAAGTCATGATAATTTCCTTTGATGAGTGTATATCTTTTGAGATGATGATGCATCTTCACTGAGAAATGTAGATAACAAAGGAATATTCTGTTGTGTTTTGTTGGGCCTGCCTGCCAAATTTCTGTCTCTATCTTGAAGAGGTTTCCATTGTACCTTTTGTTTATAAAAGTTATTTAACAAGATATTACTGAGTTATTTCCAAAAGAAATTAAAACTAAAAAAAGCTGTTAACACTTTTTTGATAGTGACCTTCCTGATTAATTATATAATGAATCTTCATATATTACTAAGTGAAAATATTAGATAGTTTAAAAAGAAACTGGTTTTGTGAACCTGCTTCACAAAATTTTATATTGTTTCTTGTTGTATCTGTCAGTGTTACTGGCTTTTTTTTTTTAGATCTGTCATTTGGTTTGGATTGCTCAATTAAGAAAAACAAATCTTATCATAACTGTATAGAATTAGTGAAATACCCTTTATGATTATTGCCATTTTTATTTTTTGTTGTTTTTAACAAAAATTTTAAGTAACATTAAAATGTGTTCTGTTGTACATTAGTGCCTTTAAATAATTAAAACTAAAAATTAAAGGTTGGAGACCTCTGATTATAGACAAAAAACATGTGTTTCTTGTATTTCTGGAAAGCTGCCTAGGTTTAGCCGTGTAAAGTTGCTCTAAAGGGTTTCTTCTTTCTGCCTTTCCAGGACCTGGAAAGCCCTGCTGAAAAGAGGCTACGGATGATGAACAAGTCCTCCATTTTGTCACAGTCAGAGGGGAAAGCTGATAGCCTGGCAAAAAAGAAAGTCACCTTTGACCCAAATTTATCACAGGATGATAAAGAAGGGACCACGAGAGCCATCCAGCCACCTTCTAAAACATTGTCGCTTAAGGAAACAGCAAATATTGTTGTAAAATATTTGACTCCTTTCTACAAAAGTGGGAAATTTGCATCTAAGGTGGGTTATGAACTATTTAATTCCCTCCCTCTCCTCCTCCTCCTCTGTTTGATTTATGTTTCCCGATCGGTTAAAGCCTCCATGGTGACACAAAAGTTAGGTATGAAATTAAATGCTGTTGCAGACGATATCTAAGGAAATGCATGGGAAATACAATTTCCACAGTTGTGTCATCTTAGTCCTTCGTCCTATAGGGTGCGGATGGGACAGTGCTGGATAGAGCTAAGCTTGTTATTATTATTATTTTTTTCCTGCCACTGTATTCCAGTGAAATAAGCACAGTACTTTCAAACAATTGCATGTACCGTATATGCCGGCGTATAAGACGACCCGGCGTATAAGACGACCCCCCAACATTTCCACTCAAAATATAGTTTGTTATATACTCGCCCCCTCTTCCGCACGCCTTCCACTTTTGCACTTTTTTTTTTTTTTGAGGCACTTTTGTCTACCGTGGAAACGAATCCCGTGAAGCCGAAAGGAGCAGCCAGCCTTCTCCCAGCTCCCAAGGAAACGAGGCTCGCACCGCCCGGGCTCCGCTGAGGTATCCGGCTGGGGCTGTCAGGAGTTGTTACCGCTGGCGCGGCTCCGCGCGGCTCCAGTCCCGCGTTGCCTCGGGAAGGGAAAGGCAAAAAGGAAGAGCCGCGGCGGCGCTTTGCAATGGCAGCAGCGGCTCCTGGTTTTGCCTTTCCCTTCCCGAGGCAACGCGGGACTGGAGCCGCGCGGAGCCGCGCCAGCGGTAACAACTCCTGACAGCCCCAGCCGGATACCTCAGCGGAGCTCGGGCAGTGCGAGCCTCGTTTCCTTGGGAGCTGGGAGAAGGCTGGCTGCTCCTTTCGGCTTCACGGGATTCGTTTCCACGGTAGACAAAAGTGCCTCAGCCGCGGGCAGCCGCAGTGCTTCCCAATTACTATTTGCCGGCGTATAAGACGACCCGGCATATAAGACGACCCCCCCAATTGGAGGCATCTTTTTCAGGGCAAAAAAGTCGTCTTATACGCCGGCAAATACGGTATTTAACTTGCTTTCTTTATGAGCAGACAGCACTGTCCTCCATTTATAATTTTTCTGTCTTTCCCCATTACTTCCATCAACTCCTAACAAAACACATTCAAGGGGAATAATGTAACATAGCAGCAGTGTTTCGGGATAGGTAAGTAATAGTAAGTAGGGACATGCAAATTGTGACACCACAAAAGGTTCCACCCTAGAACAAAACATTTCATGTGACCCAGAACTAATCTGACCTCAAAATGGGCTTCTCCAAATACTCCACAAGCAGTTTTAACAAATTGGAACCCTCTTGAGCAGAGCTGTCAAACTTCATGGCCCACGGGCCAGCTGCGTCATGCGCTGTCCACGCCCATCCCCGGTTTAGCGAATGGGAAAAAAGTCTCGATACATCATATGACGACATGAGTTTGACACCCCTGCTCTTGAGTGTCTTGTTGCGACTCCCATTCCATGGTTGAACAGCCCACTTCAAAGCCGGAGCCTTTCACCAAATAATGTTTTGCACATCACGTAGAAGCCCACTGCCTGGAAGCGCCTTCTCAGTTGTAGTTTTCATTCATTGAGGAATATGCATGTAAGTCAGCAGTTTATTCCTCTTCAAGACATTGATGTCTGCATGAACCTCTCTTATCAGTTCAGCTGTTCTTCTGATCTCACTTATGGGTGATTGTGCATTTAATCAGAATGGTAACATCACTAGAGCTACTTTGCTTTCTTACCAGGACAAAAATGTTGAATTCTATACTTGCTACTCTACCACAAGGATAAAGAGTATACTGCAGTATGTCCAGTAAAGGCTTCTATGAGTTGGAGTCGGCCCAGATTACTTCAGCACAATCTATTGGATAGGGAACAACCTATTTATTGCTTGCTTATTCATTTAAAATATGCAAAATACTGATATATCTAGTGATACCTCCCTTAGCACATACCAGACCCTATCTAGCGTGGATCAAAGCAAACCACCAATATCAGGCATCTGTTTTATTTCCAATAATGCTTCTGGGGTCTAGTATAATTCTTAGAAAATAAAAATGGCGGGTGACAACCCTGTGCTTTTTAGATGTACCTACCTAACTCCTCAAGAGAACAAGGCAAAGATAAAACATGTGGTAGAAAACACTGAAAGTTTGAGTGGTTGGCAGGGAGCAACTTCCCAGTGTGCCTTCTGGCTACCTCATTAAGGGGAGTCATTGTGTAAGACAGATTCTCAAAATTAAAAAATCAAAATCCCTTGTAGATCCCTGGATCGAATACTATTATACAAGCATCTAATTCAGGCCTGGGCGTTTTATGGCCTCTGAGCCACCTTCGGCTTTTTTTCTGTCCCCGTCCAGCCCGCATGAGGTCAGTTGGAACTTAGAAATCAAATGTAAATAAGCAGGAGACAAAGCTAAGTCGGGTTCAACTCTCTGCAGTTGCCCTGCGCTCGCTCCTTCAGTCAATTGACAGGTGTAGAGGGGTGGGGAGACGTAGCACTTTTCTGCTCCTGCATCGTACTCGCCCTTTAAATGAAGCAATCTGAGGCATTGAAGTGATTTGAGGACATCAAATCAGTTCGGCTCTTCACCACAGTCTCAGTTTCTCATGTGGGCCCTTGGGAAGATTAATTGCCCCTCCCTGATCTAGCAGAACGTGGAATTTATTTTAGTTTCACAGCCTTGACTGACTTGTGATGTCTAATTGTTTGCCCAGGCACCTATTTGAATCACAGATACCATGTTCCCTATTGTATGATAAACAGAGCACCTTAATTACGAGGCTGCCCAGCTGGGCATCAATTACTTTGTCTTGCATAGAAGCACAAGAGTTAGATATTAATGAGGGAATTGCATTCCATGATGCTTATTCTGCTCCCTTATCTCTTACCTGGCAGGATTTGTTCAAGGGATTTGCTCGACACCTCTCTCATTTGTTGGCTGCAGATAAAAGTAGTTTCCGCAAAACAGGTGAGTTGCCAAATAAAGGATGGGGTGAAGGAATGTCTTGTGCTTTGTCCCTCATATTTGGCAAAATTGTTGACTTGTAGAGATCTGTAATTTTCAGCTCCTTTTTTGGTATGGGGGAGATAGGGTATAATTACGCTTGTAGTATTTTTGATATAATGGAAATGTTTGAAAATGTTTGTGTTGTTGATAAAGTATAGGAATTGGAGATATATATGACTTTCAGTAATTGGAGATTGTTTTCTGCACATTTTTCTTGCTCACCATTAGCTCACTTTTATTCCTTTATTTATTTATTAGCCCCTCATATCCTGAACATAAATTGTTTCAACTTCTACCCTCAAAACGACGCTATAGGGCATTGCACACCAGAATAACTAGATACAAGGACAGTTTTCTTCCCATTGCCATAACTCTGCTAAACAACTAATTCCCACAACACTGTCAAACTATTTAGTAAGGCTGTATTACTATTATTATTCTTATCTTTCCTATTACCTATCTCCCTTTCTACTTATGACTATAACTTTGTTGCTGGTAACTTTACAATTTATATTTCCTAGTATGATTTTTGTTGATTGCTTATTTAGTATCCTATGACTCAGTAAGTGTTGTATCTTATAATTTATAATGAATGTATTTTTATAATGACTATAATCATGATTTATCACTTATTGCTTGTATGTACGCTGAGAACTTGTGCACCAAAGACAAATTCTTTGGTGTCCAATCACATTTGGCCTATAAAGAATTCTATTCTTAACGTTATTCTCACCACATTCTGTGTCCTACCATGTACTGTTGACTGTATTTTGCAAATGCCATTTGAGCCAAAAGGCACCATTTGCATTTGGTAATTAATGAGAGGTGTGATAAATAAACTGTGATTAAGAAGGTCATTATCTCAGGTGGCACTCTTTCTGTTTTCAGTGAAAGAAGAAGCGCAGAGGCAGATCAAGACATTTTTCAAAAGACGGGACAAGTGTGAAAGCGAAACGGACTGGCAGGAGCTGACCACTTTTGAAACGTGACTCATGAAAGGCCCTGCTTCATTTTGCTGGTTGTGACAGAAGACTGTTGTCTCTCCAAGTTTCACTGTAGCTACACTTTGTAACGATGCAATGAGGAAGCGGAGGGAGAGGGCAATTGAGGAGATAGAGGCTCCAGGGTTAAGGATTTGATCTGCACCATACACCATTGTATGTCTGGGGGGGGAAAAAGTCATATTGCTGTCAGGTTTTAAGGGCAGCCTACTTTCTTCTTCTAGCAAGTATGAGTGTACTGAATTTTATTATTTGGCTAGGCATATGATTGTGACTGGAGAGTCTCCAGTCTTTTAATACAGATTTTACTGGCAGCTGCCTTAAATAGAAGACATGCATTTGCCTCAGTCAGGATTTCTTTGCTGTGAGAGTAAAGTGTTAGAGAGTACTTTGGGGAAGACCAGTTAATTTATAATTGAAAGGAAACCCGGAAGAGTTATTTTGGCCAAAGCTCTTTAGATTTCTGTTATTTTATGGTATTGACATGTTTCTTTTATTCCAAAAGTGTTCCCTTACACCAGAATATTTTTAAAAAAATTAAAGCTAACAAAATGTGCTGAGTTGACTGGGCAGCATATTGACAGAATTTTCCCTGAGTTAGTAATAACAAATTAAATGCAGCAAATTAAGGGCATAGCAACCAGTACTAATTAAACACATACAAGAGGGACTTCCAATGTAGGCAACAGGAACTATTTTGATGCTTAAACTTTCCTACATTATTTTCATTCCCAATTACTGCTCCAGTAACCCTGCTCTCCTATGAAGTTCTAAATGTGCAATTAAGGAATTCTGTCCTCCTTCTGCATCATCTGTCAGTATTTGCTTTTTGTACCTAAGCTATCTGATAGGTGTTAGTGTAAGTTTCCTTCATCTCTCACCAGTATGACCAGGGTCTTTGTTGGCTGGGAACATTGGAAGTTATCCTTTAGACTGGGTTTGGGAAGAAAGTTATGGTGCAAAAATGTTTTTAAGGAGAGAATTAATATTGTGTCTTGCTTCTGTTCCTAGTTGACATGTCTTTCTTTATCCAAGAGGGACTATACACACTAATGTGGTTAGAAATGTCTAGTTAGGAGCAGATTTTTCTTTTCATAAAACCTCAGGAATAAAGGTCAACAATACCTCCCTTCCCAAAGATTCTGTTCTTCTATATTAATCGAAAGGAAATGCCTGATATATTTAAGGGAAATTGCCATTGCAGTATCTGCACATTGCTCTAAAATTACTTAGTTTTAATACTTTACATTGCATTTTTATTTTTGCATATGGAGTAAATTCTAGACCCTTAAAGAAGATAATTCTTCACAAACATTTTCAGTTGATTCTTGCAAGGCTGTTACACAGATTATTTGTATGGTGAGGAGCTGTAACCTTTTGAGGAACTCTTGGATTTGCCCCACTATAAACATGGGTTTGTTGTACTAAAATGCTTTTAGGTAAATAATGTAAAATTAGCACTTTAAAATATGAAAAATGTGAGAAATTACCAACTACTGTAGTAGTCTCCAATTCCCACCTTGAAGTTGAGTTGCTTCAAATAGTTTTGTTTTCAGGCAAGAAAAAGATAATTACAGCCTGCTCACATTCCCTATCATAAGTAGAGAAATAAATGTGCATTTGAAAGAAATGAGATAATTCTTTTCATATGTCACATACTTAAAAGCCATACTACTGTATTGTGCCTCCAATCTGGGCCTAACTTGTAACTCAGTATTATGGCAAAGTGACCCAGAGCTTACAAGGAAAAGGCTCCTTTATTGATATTTAAGAGAAACTGAATATATTTGGGGATTCTTGGTTAAAATAGTAGTTTTTATCATTATTGTTTTTTGACCTGTGCCTTAGATCTGTCCCTAGAAAAGCCACTGATCTTTCTGATGTCGAGAACTGACAGACAAAGACAGAATTGTGGAAGAGATCTTCAAATTTGCTTCTGCTGGAGAAATAGGCTTTGTAACTTTAAAGGTACATGGCAAGCTGCTAATAAAATTAATGTTAAAGATGTTACTCTAGTGGCTTTTATTTATTCAGAACAAATCTTTCTATGTCTGGTAAAGTTAAATCAGTCACTACTTAGCATAGTCTGTGAACTAAGAGAATTTCCAGTGGGAACCATTCTGCACTCCATGCAAAGTGTGCACACAATTGTTTGTGTATAACAGCTGAGATGATTTATTTCTGACTGCAGTGTATCTTAAATTAGTGGTCGCCAACCGGTGGACCACGGCCCACCGGTGGTCCGTGAGAAAATTTTGGCGGGCCGCAGAGAAATGTCCCCCCAAAGCAATTAATCCAGGCTGCGCCCCGGATTATGGTCCGCCTACCCGCTGGCCCCCATCTTTCGGCCGAACACAAACCTGCAAAAAGCAGCACAGCCTTTGCCAGCCAGGACGAGGTAATGATGCTGTTGCAGCAAGAGGGGGCTGGCGGCACAGGCGGGCTGAAGTGGAGATGGCCGGAAGGTGCAGCAGCGCCGCACTAATTGTGTGGTGCTCCTGCACCTTCTAGTTTGCCTCTCCTGGCCTGGGCTCTTCCTTGATGGCCACGGGATGGCCCAGGGCAGGAAAAGTACCAGCTGCTGGTGGTGGGAGGGGGCGGAGTGAGCAAGTTTGCACTTACCATCCAGTTCTGAGGTCCAGAATGGGGCGTTGTCAGCGTTGTCAGTTTCCTCGTCCCTCTTGGCGCTCTGCTCTGCTGTCCCCCGTCCCCCCACACGGCCCCAGCCATCGCTGCCTGGGGAAATCACAGGAAAAGCGAGCAGAAACATAGCTCTTGCTGGGATGAAAGAGCTGAGATTGAGGAAGGCACAGGCAAGAGAAGATGGAAGCTGATGCCTTTGAAAAGCGCCACTTTCTGTTGCCTGTGCCTTCCGATCTCTGCTCTTTCACCCCAGCGAGAGCTATGCTTCTGCTCGCTTTCTTTTCCTGGGGGGGAAGCAGAGACATCAGGGCTGTTCTCCCCCCTCAGCAAGCCAGGCCTGGAGGAACGTGAAGAATTGTGGGCGAGTGCTGGGGAAAGAAGTGTTGGAAATGCCAACACACATTTCCAGCACACTCTCCTCTGTCCTGAAGTAGGATTGAGTTGTGGGAAAGGAGCAGGGGGAAGGGTAGGAGGGAAGGAGAAGCCCATCTGGCTTTCCTTTGGCATGGGGTGGGGGGTGGGGGGAGAGGCCAAATGCACAGATCAAAAGAGCGCCGAGGAAGACAGGCTCCTAATAACCAGCCTGTTTGTGCAGGTGAGAGCTCGAGCTTTTCTGAGCTCGACCCCCCCCCCTTCGGCCTCCACACGGGGAGGGACCCTTCTCTTCTTGGAAGTGGCGGGAGAAATCTGGAGCTTAGCCTCAGGGAGTCCTCTTCTTATGTGGAGGCCGAAGGGGGAGGGTGTTGCCTGGTTATTAGGAGCCTGTCTTCATCAACGATTCCAGCCCGGCCCTCCTTCCCTCCCCCAACTCCAGGCAGCCACACCTGGCAAAGGAGGGACAGGTTTCCTCTGATTTGGGGGAGATATGAGATGGCTCTGCTTCCGTTTGAGGGGGAGCCGGTCCCTTCCCGTCCAGATCTTCCCAGCCTCCAGGCACCATGTGGCTTCTTAAATCCTCCCTCTTTCCCCCACAAAAGATGAGAGGGGCCTCTCCTTTCCCTTTGCTCTATCCCACAGTTATGATTAAGCATTTACGATTATATATATATATATATATATATATACACACACACATACATACATACATACATACATACACATATACACACACACACACACTTAATAGTATAAAAATAAAAATAAAATATTAAATTGTTCTGTCTCCCCTTCCCTTTACCCCGAAAGGTAAGGGATTATACACACACACAAACACAGACAGGCAAGCTGGCTCGAACTTTGCAGAGCAAATCCTCTGTAACTGATACCATTCTTGGCATCCCACTACATCCTGCCTACCAAGTCCGAGCTGGCAGCAATTGTAAATCAAAGTCTTACTCACACAGAAGGAAATGGGTCTTTTACTTCACAAAGCACAAGGCAGTTCACAAAACAATCGTTCTTTCAACATAGTCACGAATAAAGTCTAAAGTAAGTTAAACTTTGTCCCGTATAAAGTTTAAGGAAAAAGCACACCCAATTTTATCCCCTGTGGGGTGTGGCTCAGTGACTCAGCTCACTCTCTGACCCTCCCACACCTCCTACGTTGCTGCTCATGTTTCTCCCTACAACGCCGCTTGGGGTCGAGCCAAGACTACTACTCTTCACTCCCTGTCAGGGACTCCTCCGACATGCCTTCCTCCTTATTCATCTCAGGCTGTTCCTCTCGGTTGTCTGATGGAACCTGAGGCATTACCAGGGAGGAAGGCATTGCCAGGGAGGAAGGTGCTGGGGAGGAAGGCATTGCCAGTTCCTCCCCGTCATCTTCCAGGTCATCTTCCTCTGACAGCATAGGCTCGGGAGTCGGGGCCACAACATTAAATATATTATCTTTTTTAAAAAAATTGTATTAGTGGTCCTTGGGATTTAAAAGTATGAGTTTGGTGGTCCATGAGGTCCAAAAGTTTGGCGACCCCTGTCTTAAATGACATGAATTTTCCCACTTAAAACCCTGAAGACCTACTAAATGTGCAGGTGGGCAGAATGATTTGATTATTTGTTCATATCAAATTTTTACATAGAATAAAAGGTTAATCAAAAGAAAGGAAACAAAGGAACAGAAAGAGAAAAGTACAAGAAATGAAAAAGAAATGCAACAATCAGTCTATCACGAATCTTCTCATTCATTGTTCTCAAGTCTCAATAAAAAGAATTCTAGTTTCTTTGCACTGTTGGTCTCTAAATCTTTGTATCAGGTGTGAATTTGTATCCAAAATTTCTTAGCATTTTCACAAGTCCACCATGATAAAATGTTCCCTCATACATTTTACATTTCTAGCACTGGTTTGAAATGCCTTTATACATTTTTTAAAATTCATTACCCACCGTCTCTCCCAAGTGTTCATCTCAGTTATATCCAAATCTAATAGCCCATTTTGTCATGCAGTCTTTAATCTGTTCTTCTGTTTCAAATCTTAACAAAAGTTTATATTTTTGTTATTACCGTATTTGCCGGCGTATAAGACGACTGGGCGTATAAGACGACCCCCCAACATTTCCACTCAAAATATAGAGTTTGTTATATACTCGCCGTATAAGACTACCCCCTCTTCCGCACACCTTCCACATACCAAATAAAAGGTAAAAGAACATCAGATTTGATTTCAACATGTTAATTTATATTCAAATGCTTATGACATGCAGGAAAACTCACAAGGCTGTGAAAGTATGCCAAATAATAGAACATAAGTAATTTTCCGATTCAGAGCAGGTTATAGTTCATAGTTTTATAAAATGTGTGTGTGTGCCTAAATTTCAAATTACCCATTTACCATGACTTGTCATGGACAGGCAACTTTATTAAAAGAATTCTATTTCAGCTAAGCCGGAAAGACACAAATATGGCCTGCAGAAGCATAATTTTCACTCTGATATTAATTGTGGCAATGTTGCATTTTAAACTAGCCATGATTAATTATATCCAAATTTTCACACCCACACTCCCCTTCCTTTAGCTTTCTGAAAACCCCACATTTGCAGATCCCATTTTAGCAATGCATCTAAGATTTGACTTGCCAGCCACTATCATTAAATTATGCTTGCTAAAATATGAACTGAAATATGAACTGAAATATGAACTACCCTGCAAAGCTGCCCATAATGAAGATAAGTTGATCTTGATGTCAATCCTCCAGCCTTTCACTTGTCTTTTACTTGATACCACTGCCAAACCTGCTTTTCCATCGATACCAGAGTAAAAAGGTGACATTGCTCCCCGCAGCAAGAGAAGACAATGTGGGATGTGAGAAAGAGGAGAAATCGCAGTGAAATTAAGGAAATTAGGCGTTTGTGTTTTTTTTCCTTTCCCCCTTCGGGACTGGATCTAGAAAGTTGTCATTTTAACATGATCGCTCCCCTTCTTCTCTTCCCACCCCCAACCTCTGTTTCGTCTTTAAAGAGAAAAAGACACCCATTCTGCTTTATTGTATCTGACATAGTGGGCTTTAGTTCAGAAGCTGATGTCACTCAACAGGCAAGTCCTTTCGGAAAACGCCAGGCCCTGCCTGGTCTTACCCAACGCTGCTTGCCAGGGATCTGGCAGGAAAGAAGGAGTTCCAGATCCTTTTTCTTTCTAGCCTCTCCACCTGCCTTTCCCGAGTCCATCCAAGGACGCGCCTGAAAACCAGGTTGATTCTGGGTAACGTCTAAGCCCCAGAGGCGGAGTCCAATCAGTCCCTTCGCCCAGCTCCACAAAAGGTGAAATCGCCAGCGAAGCAAAACAAACGGAAGGAAGAAACCGAGCAAGCCGGGTCAAGAGCTGCGCTACCTCTAGCTGAGCCTTAGCGGTAGTAGGGACCCACATCCCACCTCCGCCCCACCTCAGCGAGAGGGAGCCGGCCGGATTGCAGGGCGTAATCCCTCCCTGGCAGAACTACGGGTAACCCGACGCTCAAGGCTACAACTGAATGCAAAGTCCCCGCTCTGAGATCTGCAGCTAATTTACGAGGAACCCTTTGCAATTCGCCAGCGCCTGCTATGACCTCAAGGAGAGGGAGAAGCGAGCCTCCTCACCAACAAGGCGAAGAATATACCCGTATTTGCCGGCGTATAAGACGACCCCCCCACTTGGAGGCATGTTTTTCAGGGCAAAAAAGTCGTCTTATACGCCGGCAAATACGGTACATGTTCACCATTTTACATAATTCCATTTCAAATTGCTTTTTGCTTTTCAATTCAGAGAGTCTTTTTATCCATATTAAACCTTTCTTTTAACTGTGCACATGAAAACCATTGAAAACCGTGTCCTTTTGCAGCTTCCATAGACAAGCAGGCTATTGCCTATTACTGAGGAACTGGCTTTCCTCTCCCTTCTAAGGTTAAGCCAGCTTCTCCCACCTCCCACCCCCTCCTTTGCAGAGAGATTCAGCTGCTGTAGTGAGGTGGTATCATTTCAGCAAATGTTCTTAAAACAATTTGACAGCTGGTGCCTTGGAAGCTTTGCATCTGCTCACAGCATTGGCTGTTCTGCTAGGATGGGCAAAGCCCTGAGCAAGTACCAGGAACTAAAAATAATGGATTCGCGGCCACTAACTCTGCGTCATTTTTTTCATGCTCTCCTGTAGGATAGTTGGATGGAAGACTTGAGTGGCTCGTGCTAGCCTATGTTTTGAAATTGGTGGCAGGGAAGACCATTAGTTAACTTTAAACTGCTTTTGAAGAAATCGAGTAAAAATTGTAATGATGTGAAGATGCCCTTGATTATCCAAGGATTAATAATATTGTTATGCATAGTTTCAGGAATGCAGATTCCTCTTGTTTGTTTGCAAAAGCATTCTGATTAAATGAAACTAGCAAACAGTAACAAAAAGATGTCAAAAGTTCAAAGTCAGATTAAGACTCTAAAAGAGATAGGGGAATATCTTTTTCTTGTGCCATATCCGTCATCGGACGTTGACGATCATGTTGGTGATCCTATTTTTATCAACAGCCGCACGAAAAAACTTAGGTGATGGTAATATGTGGAGATTTTTTAAATCATCCCAAGGCAAAATTATGTTTGCATACATGTATGTGTGAGAGACACAGAGCACACTAGTTTTTTGGTCTTTTTTAAAATAACGTTTCAAGAGAAAATAAAATACAAGATAACAAAAAATGGGAGAAGGGATTCAAAAGGGAGAAAAGTAAAAAGTGGGGGGAAGGGGGGTGGAGGGATAAGCAAAATATATTTAAAAAGACTTCCAATTTTCCTCAGTACAGATACAAATATATAACTAAATAATATCTTATTATAAATTAAACATAAATTAAACATAGCATAGCCAATATCTAAGTTCAATAACATGTACAATCTACAGTCAATCTAATTATCCAATCACTAATTCAAAAATACTTATTCATATATTTATTCATTATCAAATAAAAATTTAAATATAATTTATAATTTAAAAATAAACAAAGAAAATCTTAAGATAAACAAAATATTCAATTTTAGCATCTCTCAATTCATTTTTCCAAATCCACTTTTTCATTCCCGATTTTTACCTTTGTTTCATCTCTATGCATTCTGTTATCTAATATAATCCTTTAAAAATTCCCATATTTCCTCCATTCTATTCATCCTAATCTCAATTACACATCTATCTTTACATTCTTATATAAAACACAAGTTCACCATAAACTTCATTCCTTAAATTCACCAACAATCAAAATTAATATTATACCCATTTTAGAAGTTTAATCACTATCAATTAAAAATATACCTTGATAGTGATCATTAATACATCTCTATTAATACTTATTTTCTCATTCAAACTCTATCAAATATATGTATGCACACCCTTATTTTCCTTTTACAGTTCTCTTATTAACTTAAAATTTATTCAAACAAAAATAATTTACTCAGCATAATCAATAAAAAGTCGTAGGCCATCTTGCTACAAATCTGTAATCAACCTTCATTATAACATGACCAAAAAAAGCCCTATAATCTATATGTAACATATTTTCCCTTTCCAACATATGACTCCTATCAGCATTTTCTCCAATTCCTTATCCATAATCTCCAGAGTATTGTTGAATATGCATTTTTTCTGTTTCTGATACATTTTGATCAAAATATAGTATATTTCTAGTATGAAAGTCAATAACCCTTGGACAAAATATAGTTCCCATTTGATCTATGAAATACAGTGAGTGTGGTATACATCAAGTAAAATAAAATGTTTCCTCCCCTCTTTTTCTCAAACTCCATGTAGAGGCTTCTTTCAAACTAGTTATATTCAAGTTTTCAGCTTTTAATCTTAAATCAAATGAAAATGATCATAAGAAAATTGTTCCTGTATTTTTCTTTCTTTCTGTAGACAATAATAACTTAAGATGAATTTATAAGGTGTCCTTTTATTTTAATTTCCATTTTATCTTTTATTTGTCCATCTTCCACAAGAATCATATAATTTATTATCCAGTAATTTTTGAGTTCTCTCAAACTTAGCTTCTAGGAACTAACATCTCTAAGAATTTGGTGTGATTTCTCTCCACCGTATTAAATAGCACACTCTAGTGTACAAGAGAATAATTGCAAATTATGATTTCTCAGAGAAGGGGGGTGGGATGGCAGATACAGAGAGCTATTCCAATTTACATACATTGGTAGAGCCAAACCAATCAGCAGTGAGGTAGGTGAAAATTTTAAAATCAGAAAGGAAAAGAATGCAGCTTCAAAGATCACAGATACAGATTCTTCAAATCTATATTTTAATCCTTAAAAAAGAAGCATCTTAGCCCCTCCCAAAAAAGAGTTTTAAAATCCCAAAATTTGTCTTCTTGTTCTATAAATTAAATTCAAGTCCCAGATCATTTTTTTTAATCCAAAATGACTCTGAAATATTGAAAGTCACCGAACTACAGTATAGTTCCATAATTGAGGGAAGACTCCCTTTGACTGACAGTGAGGACAATCAACCAATGGAACAGCTTGCCCTCGGAAGTTGTGGGAGCGCCATCAGTTGAGACCTTCAAGAAGAGATTGGACCGCCATTTGTCAGAAATGGTGTACGGTCTCCCGCTTGGGTGGGGGTTTGGACTAGATGACCTACAAGGTCTCTTCCAACTCTGAATATCTGATCTTGGCTTAAAAATTAATAAGTTAAATAAAGCGTGTACGAAATAGGGAGGCCAGGTCTAATGTCCATTTGTCCTGGCTACAGAAAACAGCTGTTGAACTTGGTGAAAACCTTGCCTGATCACTCACTAAGCCAGGGGTGTCAAACTCTATTTCATTGAGAGCTGCATCAAGGTTGTGTTTGACCATGGGGGGGGGGCATGGCTGGGGTGGGCTTGGCCGGCTTGACATCACTCATGTTGGGGGCACCTAAGGTGACCCGTGCGGGACTGGGGGGATCCATTGTCTCCAGTGGGGGAAGGTGAGAGCAGGGAGAGCGCCAAACCCTTGTCCTTCAGAGAAGCCTTGCGGTCTGCTGGTGGCCAAATGCTAAGGCAGGACTTCCTTCCTTCTTTCCTTCCTTCCTTCCTTTTTCTTTTTCCTTCTTTCCTTCTCCTTTCTTCTTCCTTCCTCGCTCTCTTTCCATCTTTTTCTTTGTCTTTCCTCTTTCCCTTTCTCCTTTTCTTTCCCTTTCTCCTTTCCTTTCCCTTGGATGCTCAAATGCAAAAGAGGAAACATTTCTCTTGTTTTATTTTGCTTTTAGTTTGTTTTGATAGCCCTCTGCCGGCAAAAATGGAGCTGAGGGGGCGGGAAGCACGTGCTCCCACCAAGCTCCATTTTTGCTAGCAAAGGCACTGCAGGCTGGTCCTTCACTGTTTCCAGGGTGGCCCCGCAGGCCAGATCTAAGCACCTTCAATTTGACACCCCTGGGTTAGGTGACCCACCCAAAGATACTCCAGAGTAGCTATGGCATATTTGTATGGCTCGAAGTTGAGAAGCTGCTTTTGCTATCTGCAAATTGAAGGGCTGGAAGTGATGCAGGAATGATGATAGGAGAATAGTGAACGGTGGTTCAAAAGAATGACGTTTCCATAGCTCACATTGACTTGGGAGAAAGCAGTTGGCAAGTGGACACATCAAAAGATTACGGGCATTTTTCAAGTTCCAGGAAAAGATATTGCAGCCAACTTCTCCTGGTTGTCACTAAGCCTGGGAATCTGATTCCTCACCGATGATTGTAATCAAATGATATAATGTTTTAGCCTGTCAAAAGAGAAAGTAGTGTGAAATATTTGTTTGTTTTTCCTTTCAGACAGGCAGTTTCTCCTTCCAAAGCAAAGTCTCAAAATAACTCCTGTCAAACCTTCTATCTAACTCTCTTTGTGCCTGTACAAACACAGCATACAACTTTTAGGATAACATAGTGTTCTTTCTTCATAAATCATGTTTAGAGCTTTAGAGCCATAATCGATCAAATTTATTGTTTTATCAGAGAAAATAAAATATAAAACAGTAAAACAAACAGTAAAATGAAATGAGACGAACATACATTCAAACCTAGCAACTACTACAACAACAAAAAAGTGTACAAAAAAGAAGAACAAGTGGTCAATTAAATTTAACGTGATCCTATATGTTTACCCTAAGTCCATCATCTTTGGTTTGGACTAGACCACAAATCATTGAGGTAAGCAAACAAACAAAAAAAGCTATTGGTAGGCACAATATTCTCCCTTTTTCTTAAAGCTAGAATAACCCATTTCATCCAAACATATACACTGAAAGCTGATGTTGCAAACCAGGGTGTCAACCCTGAGGTCATGTTGGAGCGTCTTCAGGGCTGCCACAGCAAGGCTGGTTGAGCTCTGGGAATGGGAGCGGGGAATAGAGATAGCTGGGGACTTGACGCCAAAATAAAACATTTTCTCCTGGGAACCAAGGACATTTTCACCAGATGGGGGAGGCGTGGACTGAAACCAACTTGAGTTAGGACTGTGACCTGGTTGGACCAGGTGATGGACATGTGGACTGGGAGGAAAGAACTTTGATTTTAATTTGGGTGGAGAATACCTTTACGGCCTTCAGAGTCAGGTTTTCACCAAATGTGCCAATGTGACATGCCTAATAAATTTGGACTTGAGGAGCACCTTGGCTTCAGAGTTTTGATTGCATTGGATCTGTTACTTGGAACTGTGACAGGGTGGTTTGTTTGTTTTGTACAATGCAAAGCCGCAGCTGCTGCCTGCATTGATCTGTGCTCCACTATCTTTGGCTATAGCTTTGGCTATCTTTGGTTGAAAAATAGAAAAAAATGATAGTGCAGTGAACCTTCTGAATATTTCTCTAAAGAGGCAGCACAACTGATGTTACCTGTTTCAATTCAAACCAGATAGTCTTGGGATTTTCTATTGAGCCATAGTTGATTTCTATGCCTGGAAAGCCAGCAGCACTGAATGGACGTAAGGATTTCATCCGTAGTATCTGCTTCAGCGGAATGATGATCTGATTGCTCTGCACATGAGGAAAGACAGGCATGGTGGACATGGCAGAATCAGTCATCTTTTTCGTACTTTAGTATTTCACTTTCACAGGGGCAATGTTCTCAATGAAGGCCATCCTTACATGTCAATAAGAAATTTTGTGAATGATTTTTAAATGTAAATCCCAGGCATGTTAGTTGCCCAGTTCTGTATGCGTGTGGATTAAAATACACCAGTAAAGTTCCACTGGAAGGACCGAAAGTGACCAACAGCATTCAAATACCGGGAACACAGAGTGCTACAGAATAGAGTTGTGTTTTGGCAATGTTGGTATGAAAGACTTGATCTAAAACTATAAGTGGTTTTCTTAGGCTTGTAAGTTGCTCCAGTTGTTACAAGCTCTGAGTGGCTAGCATACAAACAAGGTTAAAACAAGAAGCAGAGCAAACCATTACGGCAACAATACAGTATCTTCTTCACGTACCAGGCAGCATTAACGTACACTTAAAAGAGATCCTTCTTGTCAGCCAGCAAGACTGAATGAAATAGCTAAGTCAGTGATGGCTAACCTTTTTGGCACCAAGCGCCCAAAGCACATGCACGCATCCCCAAAGTATAACATGTGTGCGCCCCATGCATGTGCTCCACTGTGCCTCATGCATGCACATGCCCCCCAGCACATGCACGGCAGAGACCCGAAGACCAACCGGCCAGCAAGAAGTGCATGCATGCATGCATGGTGGAGCTGGCTGGGGTGACGGCTCACGTGCCCAGAGAGAGGGCTCTGCATGCCACCTCTGGCACATGTGCCATAGGTTCACCATCACGGAGCTAGGTTTTATTGGCTTTCAAAATCTAAGCATGGCTGGGTGCTAATCAAATTTTGTAGGGAATGTGTTTCAACAAAAGAATGAAAATATCTTCTGACAAATGCAGGCCAAGGAATGATTGGTATACTTGAAAGAGACGGGTGACAATGTCCTGACCTGAATGGTATCCTATTTATTTAAATTCCAATGTTTCATCCATTGTGATATTTCTGTTGTAGCCCTACCTGTGTTTCCTTGCTCATGACAACAATTTCCTCCTGGTTCACTCCTACAATGCAAGGTGAAGAGATATCTGGAGCACTGATCCTCTCCACAGAGAAAACATTATAGCCAAAGAGCGGCAGCTGAATCACATGTTCTGCAAGGAGAGAAACAAGATAGGAAGGAGTGTAATATGTCAGGCTCATAGGCAAAACCCACATCACAGCTGTGCATGTTTTCCAGGGCAAGTTGCCATCTGTGCTAAAGCAAGACTGTGGCTCAAAGCCAAGCCATTGAAGCTGTGGCACTTTCAAAGCTGCCCAAACCTCCAGACCCAAACACTTTGCATACCCAACAATGCTTGCAGTTGTGGTTGGACAGTTATTGCCATACGATTCCCTGCCTGCAAATCATCCCAACTGGGTAATTACAGCAGAGTTGGGAAAGGCTCTATATTTACATGAGAGCAACAGGAGAGACTGCATCTGTTTTTTATGAGGCTAAGGGAGTTTGCATTTTGTTCTGAGGGATCACTTCTCTGCTTTTGTTAGCTCCACTAGTGTACCAAATCAATCGACTCCACAAAAGGGCCAAAATGACTTTTATCGAGATTGTAACAGAACCTTGTAAGCCTGTGATGTACCGCTTCACATGAGTCAGTTGCTGAGCATCCAAATTTTGATCCTGTGACCATGAGGATGCTGCAATGGTCATAAGTCACTTTTTTCAGTGCTGTGGTAACTTTGAATGGTCACTAAATGAATTGTTGTAAGTCAAGGACTATATGTAATGAGTGGGAGAGATTCTCCATTGAATCACAGCACTTGCAAACTGAAATCATCCTTAGAGGTCGTCTACGCATACACAGTTTTGGCAACAATATTGTTGTGGCCCACCAGCAGCTAGCAGAGCTGGCAGCAGACTCAGACAGTGAGGAGGTTGAGGAGGAACATGGGCCAGTCCTGGCGTCTGGGGAAGGCTCTGACGAAGTGCTCTGCATCGGAGGCAGAGATTAGGCCAGGGCTGACTGACAGTTATCAGCTGCCTTCGGAGTCAGAGATCAGTGGGGCAGAAGAACAGCTGGAGCCTGTTCCCAGTGTGCACATGTGCAGAGCTGCCCGGAGAAGGGAACGGTTAAGGAACAAGGGTCGACTTGGGTGTAAAAGCTCAGGTGGACGGTGAATGGCCCCTCCCATAGGGAATAAAGAGAACCGAAAGGGAAGTGGTGTTTGCAGGAGACAATTAGTTCAATTCATTAGGGTGAAGATCTGTTCCTGACTTCTTGCCAAGTAATTGCTGCCACAGCATGGCGTTTGGAAGATATCAGCCTGGCAACTCTCCAAGCCTGATGAAGGTTTGTAGTTGTGAAATGTCGTGAAAAACTGTTTTCCGGGACTTTGCTGGAGAGGAATTCACTTTAACCTATATAAAAGGGGTTTTATCGGGACGAGGAGTCTGCTTCCCTTGGGAAGCCTAGGTCAGAACAAATATACAACTTATATCCATATAGAAATAAGATGAAATAGCAATAAAGCCATGCCAAAATCTTGCCTATTGAGGATAATTATAAAATACATGTACAGTAGATATAAAATGTACATACAACTTTGCAGGAAAATAGGTATATAAAAACATTCCCTTCAAATCCCATGCTACCCCATACAAAACATATTTCAGGTAGCAGCATAAAACCAGAACCAATTTTAAGATGTTGATCAAATGCAGCTGTTGAACTCACCAATAAAACGTATTTGTGCCTGCAGGGGCTCAAGTGGTTCTATTGTCTCCAGTTGATAAGCCATGCCAATTTCAATGATATCTGGGCTGATGTGGGTGTCTGAAACAGGGATGTAATTCTTCAGTTCCTCTCTATTTAGACAAATAGAAAATATGGACTTGACCATAAACTGAAATTAAAAAGTATTCAGAAAAATGCTAAGTGTTCGTGTGCAATTGGCAACTCTATGCGTAAATGCCGTAGTTATGGGGGAAACTGATCTGGATGGTGAATCAGGATCCTATGCAGAGGCAGGGGAGTTTAACTGGCTGCTGTTTAGAGTCACTCTGAGGGAGATGGGCAGTTTTTAAATTACACATACACATATTCTTGTCTCAGGTTCTTGTTTTTGTGTATGGCACATTGTTCATTCTATGTATGCTTTTTTGAAAATGGATTAATAGAAAGCTACCTAGGTTTTGGAAGGGAAGAGAAATTATGCAATTTGGGGTGTTGCAAGTCTGTTGAGTATGCTAACAGAGGTGTCATCATCTGTAAAGAACTGCTTTAATGGGTCATGGCAATTACTCATTTCCTTAATATTACAATTTTCTCCCTCTTTGGGGCCGTTTCCTAGACTGCATAAACAAATAAACAAATAACCTAGTCTACAACCTATTCTGAATTGATATGCCTACCTCTGTTCCAATACTGCAGAAAGACTTACCTTGTAGGGACCGACTGAGCTCCTCTGGCCCAGTGCTGAAGCAAAGCCAAGATGCCCAGCTGCTGCCCAAGTTTGCTGGTTTGCTGCAACAACAGTGTTCCTGTCATATATTTCTGCAAGACCTAGAAATAAATAAACCAGAAGAGAGTTTGCTTTGTACTTCTCCGTAGTAGATTTTTAAAGTGGGCATCATTGAAGGAACATTTGTAATTGTACAGATGTTGCAACTCCTAACATTATCCTGTGATAACAACAAAAAAGTTCAGTAAATAAATACAGCAAATTCAGCAAAGTGGGTATAGGAATTTATCATGTACTCTTAGCCAATGAGTCACCTTCCATAAGAATTATACAGCTGTCCTTTGTATCATCATTGTTCATCATCTCACATCTTCTCCAGGAATTCAAGAAGACATACATGGAGACCTATCTTAATTGTATCCTCACAACAACCCCCTGATCTACTATGGGTAGACTGTCACTGACACACATTCAATCCCATTGCGTTTTTATGGCCAAGATGTTGTCCAGGCCTTAACCATAATCTCATACCAGCTCTTCATAGTCTTACTAAGAGTCCAAGACTGTTCCTTTCATACCTGGTTATAATGAATGTTGATGTAGATCTCATTATCGAAGTGCAAAGGAATCTTCCAAGTGATCCTACAGAAATGTAGTTCTATTGAACTTTCTTCTAACAAATAGTCGAGGACATATTCCTCCTGGTGCAAAGGCCTTATCATCTTGCCTGCATAGGATAAAGAACCATGGTCATGCCATCCCCATCCAAAGCACTGAGCTCAAAGGCAAATATTTTAAGGTCAACCTATTTCCTCAAATGTAAGGCAACCTTATCCCCTTTACTATACTATATGGTAACTTTACAATCTTCAAGCTGATAGCAAAATGTAGCAAATATGTATACAATTCCACCTATTAAACTCATCCAGCTTGTCTGTCAATTTTCACTGAACAATATCATCGCTTATAAAGAAAATAGTAACATTTTCTTCTGTCTACATCTTTCTATCTTTGTCTCATAAAACTTTTAGTTAAATGCCCTTTTAGTTATTCCATAGAGAAGCCCGCCCCCACCCCCAATGTCATGACAGAAGGAGAAATATATATTTGGCATCATTTGAAAGCAAAACATGACATCTACACCTACACTTAAAAGGAGCAGATGCAATTTAAATGTTATTTTTTTAAAAAAGCAATAAAAGAGCTGCTGACAAAGATATGTGCCTTAACAAGCAATTAGATTTTTAACATTGGAAATGCTAATGTAATGTAATGACTACATTCAAAGAGACAACTTTTAGTAAACAAACAAAAGGCATTTATAGCTTTGTCATATTCCCTACCTCAATGAATTTTCTATAGAGAGAAAGAAAAGAATGGGTGGGGCATATATGGGAAAATTAAAAAAGAAAGGTGATATTTGGACTCTCCATCAAATTTCATGAATGAGACAAGAGATTGCTCACTAAAAACAAAAACCTAAATTAAATTCCCTTAAAACTCTACATTACCATGATAAAATATGGCAATCAACAGGCTGTAATTTCTAGAAAGGATTATAAACCTGCTATTGTATCAAAAACTGGTTCAAAACAGGGAAAAAAGGTCCCCCACTGCTACCTGGCCCAGATCCAGGAGTACTGGCAAATCTTTTCCTTTAATAGGGAATATGAAGCCTTCCAAACCAAGCATGGAGCAAACCATCACAAAGCCGCACTTTAAATAAATATGTGCAAGATTCTCTATCCATGCGCACATCATAACACGGCCCTAAAATCAATATCAGGGCTATCATCATGAATATATTCTTCACATGTAAGCCTTGAGAAATTACAGTCATGTGAAGAAGAAAAAACACCCTCTATGGTTTTATGTGTATTAGGACATAGTAAAAATCACCTGGTCCTTAGCAGTGCTTGAAAGTAGATAAATACAACCTCAAATGAACAAAACATACATATTACACCAGGCCTGCCAAACTGACAGCTGGATACATCACACACAGGCCACACAGGCTCCACAAAGGCAAAAAACGTCGCAATACGTCACAACCCGACCAATGATGTGATTGAACTACACCATGTCATCATTTATTTTACAAACAGAAAGCCGAAATGGAAAAGCCATGTCATATGTTGTTGTTCATCTACTTTTAAGCACTGCTAAGGACCAGATGATTTTCACTATGCCCTCCTAATACATAAAACCATAGAACTCAAAGAAGGTGTGTACTTTCTTCTTCACATGACCGTATATAACCCCAGAGAATTACCTGGCAGTAGAAGTCAGTGGGAAGGATAAAGCTACACCAGGGTGAATCTCCATATTTAGCAGATTTCACTGTATTGAAGTTGACCATTAGCCCCGGTACACTTGCCTTTGTCTTTGTTGGCTAGGATGGCAAATTCTTGGATCTCCCCCAACTCAGTAACTCCTATGTTCTCACAGATTTGCTTTAACACATCTGCTGTAACCTACCACCAGAAAAAAAAATAGTTTATTTAAGTGTACGCAAATTGTTTTGTCTGGAAAAATGTACCCTGCCAAATGCATGAATGAGGCCTTCCAAGGCAAAGGCAGTCTTGGACTCAGCGTCTTTCATTTTAAAAATCAAAAGGTGCAAAGGAGATAGATAAGTGAGATTTAATATTTGTTTAATTCCATTACTTTTAAAAATAGGTTGGTATAGGAACAATCACACATACAAAAAAGAAAAAAAAAGTTGAGAAACAGTGGGTGGAACAAGCCCTCTCAGTTTTCAGAAAGATGATCTTGTTTGTTTTGGATTTTCACAACAAGCGAGAGAGAATTTAGCATTCTTATCATGAGCTTTAATCCAAAGTGTGATTGTGTCTACACCTCTCAGCAAACAGGTTACAAAGCTTTGCTCAAATTTTTAAAAAGGGAGAAATTTGGAGGGATTCCTAATGTACCCATAAATAATTCAAAGGAAGGAATACAAGGAAGTTAGTCGGGCCATTTGAGTATTTATTGTCTGCTGTGACTCCAAGTTCAGGTTGTTCTCATCTGCTTCTTTTTAATCCAGGGATGCAAACCACTGTTGCCAAGCTCCCTCAATCTTCCCTCCTCAAAAGGCTAGAAAAAAATATTACGGTTCAGATAAGAAGACACAAGAACTTCAAAAGAAAAGAGCATCACTGAGTCACCCAAGATGCAGGCTGGCCTCTTAGATGTCTGCCTCAAACTGCTCTTTGAGTGTCCTCTCAATAAGGCAACATCAACATTAATTTAAAAAAGAAAGAAAATACTCATCACCATGGATATGTGAAACACCACTCCACAATATCCTTTTTAATGGACTAAACAGAAACTTACAGCGAACATCTTAATCTTTGCATTACATCGCACACCTCCAGGTAAGACGATTGATATCCGGCGGAAACAGTGGCCCTTCTGACAACAGGAAAGCAAGAATCAGTACAACGTAGGCATTTTTGTTCCTAATTGAAAGCCAGTTCTTGGCAAAATGCAGCCCTTGAGAAATAGAATTAAGCACTTGAGTAGAGGTAGTTCTCAAGTTACATTGATTCACTTAGCAACTATTCAAAATTACAACAGCACCAGAAAAAGTGACTTACAACAGATCCTCACCTGATCAATTTTCAGATACTTGGCAACCGGCATGTGTTTACAATGGTTACAATATCCTGGATTCACCTGGTCGCCATTTGCAACTTTCCCAGCCAGATTTTGACAAGCAAAGTCAATGGAGAAGCCAGATTCGCTTAATGACCAGCGATTTGCTTAGCAACTGTATTGATTAACTTAACTACCATGGCAAAAAAAATATCTCTAAAACCAGGCACTGTTCTATTAACAACCACTTCACTTAGCAACAGAAATTCTGGTCCCTATTGTGGTCATAAATAGAAGACTACCATTTTTTTATTCTTCAAATCAATGGAACCTGTAGCTAAACCTTTAGTTTAGTATTTAAATTAAAATTAAAAAGATAATTTTGATGAAAGCAAAGACATATGTGAGCTATCTGAGCTAGTCTTACTAGTTGCATCCTTAGCATTAATAAGTAAAAAAATTATTTCTGGGTCATTGTAATCACACATATTACTATGATTGATACAGTATAGCAGCTATGGATCTTGTTTTCCTTCAAATATTGTTACAACATCTATTATTCCAGATACATTGTTCTACATAACACATGTTCTTGGATTTCTTCTCTTATAACTGCTTCTAATCATCTCAAAGAAGAATTTGTTTGAGCTACATATTCTTCTGGCTTACTCAGTGGTGGGATTCAATTTTTTTTACTACTGGTTCTGTGGGCGTGGCTTGGTGGGCGTGGCAGGGGAAGGATACTGTAAAAACTCCAGTCAGAGGTGGTATTTGCCGGTTCTCTGAACTACCCAAAATTTCCTCTACCGGTTCTCCAGAACTGGTCAGAACCTGCTGAATACCACGTCTGGGCTTACTTCTTCAAAACTTCTTAATGAACATCAAGGATGTACACAAAATTTATTATAAATATGTGTGCAAATAATGTGACCTGTCAAAACGGGTTTTGTCATAAGTCCACAATTTGCCTCTAAAAATTCACCACCCTAAAGACTACTTTTTTCAAATAATCAAAAATATAGAAAAATTGTGCACAAGAATAATGAACCTTGGGGTAATTGTGGTCTTTAAGGTGAATTCTGCCAGAGGATGAAGCTGTTCAAAATATTAAATTCTAAAACATTTGAATAGTTTGTTGTAATTCTGGACATCAGGCCTCCCTAAAGATGTATACTCAGCAGCACAAATAAACCTTTGCTCAAAAAAGCCTGTTTTCTCACACATCAAATTGCCTTCAACCCTGACCTTCATAAATCATGTTCATGCAGATGATTCAACCTCAAGATGCACATAAAAAAGCTGTCCTATTTCCAGTATTTGCTTTGTTTTTACCCTCTTCCCCAGCTAGGTTCTTTTCTGCTTTTCTGCCTGGAAGGCTTCAGCACCCAAGCAGGAGACACTCCTACCCCGACCCTGATATCTCCTTCTCATTTACCAAAAATGCTCTCATCTCCGCAAAAAATGGCAAGTGTTGACGGCCTCCATACACGATTAGTTTCCTCAGGTTGCTCTGGCAATCCTTGGCTATTTCTGGGGATTAAAAAACACACGCACAAGGTTGAGCATACGATGTAGGAAGTGTGACTGACATTTAAAGAGGCTTCTGCTAAAATAGAATTAGGTGCTGGAACTCATGCATGAGTTCCCCACCTACCTTCCCCACACAGGACTAAGGGTTGGCAGTTGACTTGTGACTATTAAAAGGATGTTAAGGAACATTCAGAAATGAAGGGTTGGTGGTGGATAGACTGTGAGCATGGAAAATCCCACCACAGATTCTTCACAACTAATGAATAGGAGGAGACAGGCCATGTACCTGAGCAGTGGTGGGTGCTATCACAGCAGATCTGCTGCAAAAACTCAGTGATGTAAGGCCTCAAGGTACTAGATGGAAGGAAGTATCCAGTCAAAAGGCTGAGGAGCTGCCAGCCAAGGCGACAACTGTCCCTGGAACAAAGAAAGAACCGTGACAGACTTTGAGTACATCTCAGAGATCACAAATGAAAATATTTCTTATCAACCAAAAGGGGAAAAGAAAAAAAAGATAGAACAGTGAGGAGAAATAAATGAGAAGGTGGTGGTAAATGAAGTACAAAAATGGAATTTTGAAGTGGGAAATGTGACAACAGCTGTGTAAGTCTCCAAATAGCCACATCACAATTTTAAAAAATACCAATGAACCCCACCACAACATAACACCTTGCCCTCAAAAAAAAAGGGGGGGGGGAGTGAGGATGTGATCATCATAAGATTGCCCATCTCAGCACTAAAAAAAAAACATAAACCCAAGATCTGGTGAGAGCTTTCTATATAGGACTGCCATTGTATCTTTAAAAAATAAGCCTATGAGATAACATAATTGTACTCTTGAAGTTAAAACTAAGACAACGTACATTTATCTGGAGCAACTGTAGCCTATAGCCTTCTGTAGAACTATGTAAGAATAAAAGAAAACGTCATCTAAAAATATAAGACTGTAACAGAAAAATAAATTATCTGTCAATTCCCAAAACAGAGTCCATCAGACTGATGTGTCACTACTCCTATCTTTTCTTTCTTTCTTTCTTTCTTTCTTTCTTTCTTTCTTTCTTTCTTTCTTTCTTTCTTTCTTTCTTTCTTTC